ACTACCACACCTGCTGCCTCTCTAACAGATACCTGAAGTAATTGATCTAGAAAAGTCTTATCTTGGCTCACAATTTGGGAGGTCCTGAACTGTGACTGACTGGTCTGTTCCTTTTAGGCTTGTGGCAAAGCGCTTCATGGTAGGAGTATGTGGTGAGGTGGAACCATTTACCTCGTGGTCTGCAAACAGAAGAGAAGAGAATGTGGCCAGAGTCCCAGAGTCCTTTTCAGTGACCTTAAGACTCCTGCCAGAACCCACCGCTCAAAACTTCCACACCTCTAACACACGAACCTTTGATAAACAGTCCTGCCTCCTTCCACACCTCTAACACACGAGCCTTTGATAAACAGTCCTGCCTCTTTCCGTACCTCTAACACATGAGCCTTTGATAAACAGTCCTGCCTCCTTCCACACCTCTAACACAGGAGCCTTTAATAAAGTGATGTTTCAAATCCAAGCTATAGCACAGAGTAACTGAATGTTTAAAACCATATTAATGTAGCATTCTTCACTTGCTAGATTAATATATATATATAAAAGTTGAGTGTTTTTTTTTTTCTGTTTGTGAAGATGGGGAGAACCATTACACACACACACACACACACACACACACACACACACACACACACACACACACATACTTCTATAGATATATATCTGTTACTGGTAAATGTTTAAAGGGTAATTCTCTTGATAGAGGAAAAATCTATCAAATCAATGTCTTGTGTGTGAGAAACTGAGCGATTTTTTATATATTCAATTGCTGTTTTTAATTTTCTTTCAGCCACGTACTCCTCTTCCCATTTTCCTGTTGGGCTGCTATTTCTTGAATTATATGAATTTTCTCCATTAGAATGATTGCTGATATGATTGCAGGTGTTTCAAATTGTGATTGATTGACTGATTGATTTGGGAGGTCTGTGTGCCATGGAGTGTGTGTGGAGGTCCAAGGATAACGAGTGTGTCAGTTCTCTCTACCTACTGTGTAAGCTCCAAGGACCTTGGTCAAGTCGTCAGCCTTGGTGTCGGGCCTTTAACCCCAGAGGCACCTCGCCAGCCCTGCATTGAGGTTTGTGTGTGTGTGTGTGTGTGTGTGTGTGTGTGTGTGTGTGTGGTGGGGGATAGAAAACAAACCCAGGCCTTAAGTGCCCTCTACCACTGAGGCATGCAGTGATTTTGATGTTCACTTGGAATCAGAGGAGAACAGAAGGAAATGCTATGGAGCAGACATGAACAGCGTAGTTTAAAAGAGAAGAGATATTTGTCTCCTCTCCCTTCTCAGAAGAGTGTGCCCTTATGGTGATTGGCTGTGCGCCCAGCAGCAGGTGTGTTGTGCACTTCTGGTGTCGCAGGATCTGGGACATTTGAGAGCTTTGACTGACTGTGTGTACTTTACTAGTACCTAGATTTAGGCCTACCTATGAGCCATTTACCTCATAATTGATTTTTGACATTTCTATTAGGGGGATTGATTGTGGTTAGTATCTGAATTGAATATCTAGCATGAAGTTATGTGCTAACCAGGAACATTGTGGGACACAGCTCCAGAATGTAGGTAACGTTGGAAGAGGTGATGAAAAAACATGAACCTTTTCTTCCAAAGGCCATAGGAAATAGACAGTAGACACTGGAGTTGAGACAGTGTGGATAGGAAATAGACACTGGAGTTGAGACAGTGTGTGTATAGGAAATACACACTGGAGTTGAGACAGTGTGTGTACAGGAAATACACACTGGAGTTGAGACAGTGTGTGTACAGGAAATAGACACTGGAGTTGAGACTGTGTGTATAGGAAATAGACACTGGAGTTGACACAGTGTGTGTATAGGAAATAGACACTGGAGTTGAGGCAGTGTGTATAGGAAATAGACACTGGAGTTGGGACAGTGTGTGTATTGGAAATAGACACTGGAGTTGAGGCAGTGTGTATAGGAAATAGACACTGGAGTTGAGACAGTGTGTATAGGAAATAGACACTGGAGTTGAGACAGTGTGTATAGGAAATAGACACTGGAGTTGAGACAGTGTGTGTATAGGAAATAGACACTGGAGTTGAGACAGTGTGTATCTTTAGACCTTGTCATTGATGGAATAGAGGAAAAGGGCAGGTGACAAGGAGAAAGTGTGGTAACAGACAGGAGGCAAACCCTAGGGAAGAGAGGTGAAGTGGGTGACGAGCCAGCCCAGGGCTCTTCAGTGCTGAGGGTCCCTGCCTTGCACACGCCCAATGGCCAGTTTGTTTTCTCCTGACAGTTTATGCTTATTTGAAATCGTGCTGTTAAATCTTTTTGTTCTCCACAGTATTCTCCATTCTGTTTTCTAAGAAACATTTCTAGTGTTTAAAGCATGCTTTAAACATGTCCACACTGCTTACCACTTTCCCTGTGAGTCTTAGTCCACTGTGCTGACCTTACAGAATCCTGGAGCGTAGGTAACTCAAAAGAATGGGAATTATCCTCCCAGCATTATGGAAGCTGGGAGGTCAAAGTTGAAGACTATGTTAGGTCCACTCTGCATCCCCGGTGGCACCTTGAATACTCTGTCCTGCGGAGGGGGACATTGGGTGCTCACATGGCAGAGAAGCAGGGGAAGCCTGTTTTGTGCCGTTGCGTTCTGAGAGCCAACAGGCCCCCTCTTAGGGTCTGCCTCCCAACACTGTTGACCTGGGATTATGTTTCAGTGTGAGTTTTAGAGAGGCCAAACCTCCTAAGCATCCTGCAGTGACATGTCCTCTGGTGTCTAAAGTATAAAGGCATATCCATCTCAGTGTTTGGCCTGTTCCCACTCTGGTTCACCAGGTTATTCCTAGTAAAGGACGGACCCTGGGAGTCTGGGTCTGGGGACTGACTGGATTGAGCTGAACTGGAAAAATGCAGCAGGCATCTTAAGGAGCAGCAACAAAGCGGCAGGCTGAGCTCCAGCCCAGCTCGGCCAGCACGCTGGGCTCCCCTCCAGAGGAAGCTCGCTTCCTTCCGCAGGGCACCGTCGCTGGCATGTATCTCCTTCTGCCCCGTTACAGAGGATTGAGGTGGATGTGACATGTTTTCAAAAACTCCCCCACAGCATGACAAGCAGAATTCTATCTCCTGCCCAGCTGGCGAGGAAAGGCCTCCCGTGGTCCCTTTGTCCTTTGTCCTGCGCTGAGTGGACTGGAGTGTTGGTCCCCCACCTGTCCCTCAGTCCTTTCCTTGCTCCAGGGGACAACCGATGTCTTGACGGACACTACACTGCCATTTGTTTCTTTCCAGTGTTTTTAGGAAAAATTTCAAGTGTGGGAGAAAGTTGAAACCGTTTTCCATTGAACATCAGGAAGCACCATGCATTCTGTAACATCTTTAAATACCGGTTTATGACAGGTTCACCGGGTAGTCTGTCTTATGTTTTACGTATTTCAGGATAGTGGGTCCCCGTCCTGTTTCCCTGCTTGTGAATCTTTGATCTCTGTCGAGGTCGCTGGGATTGAAGCGGGTGTGGAAGGAGGACGGTGGTGGAGAAAGGCTGGTTCCTGCTGTGCGGTGGATGTCTGTGGAGGCCGGTGAAGTGAGTGCCACCACACCATCCGGGTTCACCAGCCACACAGGAAACCCGATTTTCCTCTCATTACAGCCAGGCACTTGGGAGGCAAACACTGTCCTAGGCACACGTGACCCCAGTTTTTAGGTGGACTTCCGGAGGGAGATTGTCCATGAGACACTTAGAGCTGGAAATTGACAGGACCTGGGCTGGTGGCTGATGTGAGAAGATTGCCACAAGTGAGGTCTGGGCCACCCTGGGCTACAGGGAGAGACCCTGTCCCGAGCTACAACAGAGATTCCGCATTAGGGATGTAAGTTTATGGTGGAGTACGCTCCTGGCTTTGATCCCAGCACCGCACACACACATGCACACATGCACACATGCACACATGCACGCACACTTTTTACAACCATAGTTCTCTCTGGTGAGACATGTCTGATAGTGACTCAGGGAACACAACAATTTTTCATTGCTCAAGGCTCCACCTGGATAAGCTGAAAGAACAGCCTTCCTCACACCACAGAACAAATCCTTCAGTCTGTTTTCTCTTCATTCATTCACTCATTCATTCATTCATTCATGTGTCTGTGTGAGGGGTGTGCATGTAAATGTGCGTGCATGTTTGCTCACTTGGACACGTGTGCTGTTGTGCTTACATATGTATGCATGTAATGTGGAGACCTAAGGCTGACATCAGAAGTCTTCCTCAGTTGCTGTTCACCTTATTTATTAAGGCGGGGTCTCAGCAGAATCCGGAGTCTGCTGATTGGACTAGCCTAGTTACTTCATTTGCTCTAGGATCCCCTGTCTCTGCCATCCGAGGACTAGAATTAAAAGCGGGTCAGAATTACCAGGCTTGTATGTGAGTGCTGGGGATCCAAGCTCTGAGCCTCATGCTTGTGGGACAATGAGTGACCCACTTTGAAAGTCTGGAAATCACAGCTGTTTAGGTAACTCGGCTCACATACACCGCCCTGTGTAACTCCTGGGCCAGTGGAAAGTATGGGAGAGAGCCAGTGTCTGCCCCGTGAGTCTCAGGTTTCCAAGTTAAAGTGCTAGAGACACCATGTTATCAAAAGTCATCCCGGGGCCAGCTGCTGAACTGATGAGTGTGATCACCAGAGTTTCTCTTACGTGTGAACCAGGCGTGGTACGCCTTGACCAACACCTCCGTTCCCGGGTGTACCCGTTATAAACACCTGTGTCTACTCAGGACTGTCCAACAAAAAGCATGGCTTTTTCTTTCTTAATGAAACGTGTTTGGAATTGTGTTTTAGGACTAACCTCTAAGGGCAGTGTGTGCAGGGGCTGCGGCCACTGGGGTTCCTGAGGGGACAAGTGTCCTGAACTATCCTCCTTTCTTCCATCAGCCACAGCCACTGGCAGGCTCACACCGCTGTGTTTACAAGCAAGCTAAAGGTTGTCTAGGTTTTGTGTTTGTCCTGCGTTTGTAACTTCCTCCTTTCCCACCCACTCCCTGCAGGCGCGGGTTATGTACGATTTTGCTGCTGAACCTGGAAACAATGAGCTGACAGTTAATGAAGGGGAGATCATCACAATTACAAACGCGGTAAGAGCTCAGGTTGTTTGCGGCTCTGGGGGTGTGCCTTCGGTCTGACGCTGCCTCCCTTTATCAGTGTTGTAGCTGGTGGTGCTCCAGGCACACAGCGGGAGACGGTCAGTCCCTAAAGGTGGCCAGCCGAGGACATGACTGAGCTCACTGTACCTCTTCTGTGCTGTTTTTTCTGACTGTTGCAACCTCTCACGCCCCGTGTCGTGGTGCTGGAGTCAGTTCCGGCGCTTTGCCCTCCTCACGTCGCCATGCTGTGTGTCTTCAGTAGACTGCAGAAGCAATGGGCTGACCTTCCTAAACCACTTCGTTCTCAGCCTGATCCTGCAGTTGGATGACCAGGAAGCGGCGTGGCCTAGCTCCCAGCAGGGTGACGGCATCCCTGTGTGGCACACAGTTCCGCATCTTCACAAACCAGCTTTGAACTTGTGTGTGCATGCACGGGCATTCATCTTCACATGTGCACCCCCCATAAGCGTCTGTTGTTCATACTCTTCTGATGGAGAGTTGGCATGTTTCCTTTTATAGGATGCAGTCTTTATAGTCCATTGAGTTTCTCTTGTAATCTTTGTTGCCAAGATGCTCAGAAGCAAATTTAATACCATTTTTTAAATCACCGTAGGCCAAGATCCATTACCTCACTATGTTTAGTTCTTTTTGTTTGTTTTTGTTTTTTTGTTTTTCAAGACAGGATTTCTCTGTGTAGCCTTGGCTGTCCTAGAACTCGCTCTGTAGACCAGGCTGGCCTCGAACTCACAGAGATCCACCTGCCTCTGCCTCCCAAGTGCTGGATTAAAGGTGTGTGCACCACCACCGCCAGTGGTATGTTTAATTCATTTTATGTGCAACATTATTGTAGTCATTCTTAAAGCAAGTAATAGTATTGTGAGATGAAGCCCATTTGAAATAGAGTTCTGAGAAAAGTTATCTCCATTATTCATATTTTATTCAGAAGGAAGAAGAGCAGGGCACAGAATTAATCTTGTAGTTATAAAATGAGCAAAACTCAACACTGCTGCTCCCTTTCCATCCTCCCCAGGCACCACTGAGAGCACAGGCTCCTTGCCCCTTGCCTGGGTCCCCTGGACAAGTCCTCCCCTCTCTACTACAGCAGCTGGGTCCCCTGGACATGTCCTCCCCGGTCTCTACTACAGCCCCTGGGTTCCACACCAGCTGGGTCCCCTGGACATGCCCTCCCCGGTCTCTACTACAGCCCCTGGGTTCCACACCAGCTGGGTCCCCTAGGCATGTCCTCCCCTCTCAACTACAGCCTCTAGGTTCTACACCAGCTGCTGGGTCCCCTGTGACCTGTGCCTCTTGCCCTAGGCTCCCTGTTCATCAAGTTGTCCAGTTTTTCTTCCTAAATATTCCACCATGGTCTAGTGATTCTATCTGAGACAGGAGAGTGTGTTGGGTTACCAGAGTCTCTCCTTTTGCTTATTGTTATTGTTGTCCTGTCATTATATTTTGGGCTCATATATGCTAAATCCATAGTATTTGCAGTTTGAGCAGGTTGCACAGCTCCCATGGGCCTTGCTCACAGTGTCTCAGATCTTTGCATGGGCACTTCAGACAGTGTGTCCACAGTGCTTACCTGTCAGCACCCACACTGTCCTGGACCTCCTCCTGATTTCTCGTCGTTTTTGGTGCTGCTGGGTCTGTGCGATCATTCTGATATGACTCCTCATGTGGTTGCTAGGAACCACACTCAGGTCCTCCGTAAGCGTAGTGCATGCTCCTAACCACTGAGCCATCTCTCCACCCCAGTAATACATTTCTAACAAATAGAAATAGATTTGGTTTTCAGATAGAATGACAATACCATTCCAGCCATTTAATAAAATTAATAACATTACCAAATATTTCAGCCTCATTGCTGACTTAAAATCTTTCTTTTAACTTGAAAATCTCCTAGAATATTAATGTCATCAAACAATATTGACTACATTCAACCCTGCGTGACAAATTAGTGTAAAAGATCGTGTTTTCTGTGGCCAGCTTTTTTATTATGTCACCTCTCCTAGTTTTGTTCTCTGGGATACCTTGTTACAGAAAACATATCCAAGAATGGGAAGAGCGGTCTGGTGGTAACTAGCCTTGTAAGCATGGGGACCTGGGTTCAATCTCAGAACCCACGGGAAAAGCCCCTTGGTGGCCAGCATGGGGGTGGGTGGAGACAGGCGGGTTCTCCAGCCTGTGTGACTGGCCAGCCTGCCCTGTTTGGTGAGCTCCAGGCCAGAGAGATGGCTCACTGGGTAAAAGTGATTGCCACAAGCCTGATGACCCGAGTTGATGACCCCAGCGCTCTCATGGTGGAAGGAGCGAGCCTGCTCCTGAAAGTTGTCCTTTAATCTCTACACAAGCCATGGCGTGTGTGCACGTGCACACACATACACACAGTAAATACACACATACATCCGTGTCTGTGTGTGTATATATATACTAAGAGGGTAGACAGTGCCCAAGGAATAACATCCAAGGTTGACCTCTGGTCTCCACATGTGTATATGCACACACATGCACAAAGGAAATAAGTATTTAATCACTTCTTGGCACTCTGTTTGCCTTGTTAGGTTACACTATTTTCTGTAATAAACAAGATTTAAGAATGTAAAATTTTGAACAATATTAGCTCCATAGTGATAAAAAGCTTCTTGTTATTTTTCATGTAAAATTATGTATTTATAACAATTCTCAATGCAAAATTTCTACAGGAAATCCTAACTATAACTTTTGTATTTATCTTTTCTGTTAGAATGTTGGTGGTGGATGGCTAGAAGGACGAAACAACAAAGGAGAACAAGGGCTTGTTCCCACAGACTATGTGGAGGTGAGAACTTGGGAGAACAAGGGCTTGTCCCACAGACTGTGGAGGTGAGAACTTAGGAGAACAAGGGCTTGTCCCACAGACTGTGGAGGTGAGAACATAGGAGAACAAGGGCTTGTCCCACAGACTGTGGAGGTGAGAACATAGGAGAACAAGGGCTTGTTCCCACAGACTATGTGGAGGTGAGAACTTGGGAGAACAAGGGCTTGTTCCCACAGACTATGTGGAGGTGAGAACTTAGGAGAACAAGGGCTTGTCCCACAGACTGTGGAGGTGAGAATGTGCTGTCATTGATTAACTAATGCTGATCTTCGTTCAGCATCTTTTTATCAGTTGTTGAGTTAAAAGGCTGTTGGGAAGACAGCAACCATTTTAAAAGTAAAATTTCACTGGAAATGCAGTAAGTACTCATTAAATAAAACGTGGAAAGTATATTGAAGTAGAAATAAGGGAAGGGATTACCTATGGGCCTAAGCTACAAAGATGTTTAGATTAACTTCCTTCCAAGAATAGCAGCTTTTAATTTTTCTGAATAAAAATCCCCATCTTTTGTGCCTGCTGCCCAGAGCTCTGTGGTAAATTAAGTGACAAATTTTAAATGGATTCTTTAAAAGGGTAGGCTTCACACTTCCTTCAGCTGTTTCCATAGACAAAAGGATGTCTTCCCAGGGTCACTGTGCTACAGTAAAGGATAGATAGAATCCCAGTATTCTGCAGGTGAATGGGCAGCCAAGCCATCCTCTGAGTCAGCTGCCTGGTACCCCCTGCTGGCTGCCTGTAGGTCTCCAGACTGAGCACCTGCCAGTCATCTTGAGTGACAGACTGAGGTTACCTGATGACCTGTGAGTGAAACGGGAGCTGAACCAAGAGTTGAGATTCTTTGATTCACCTAGTGTAGAGGAGGACTGCCTGCAGGATGCTTCCCCGGGACCTGACAGAAAAGAGGAGGAGTCTGTCTGCAAAGCGACAGGTTGGGGGGAAGCCTTAAACTCTCCGGGAAATCAGTAGCTTTTGTTCCTTCAGAAATGTGTGTTCACACACGTGCCATAGCTCTGTCCATACAGCCAGCAGTTCCTAGGCCCCTGAGCTCAATTTGAAAGTCTGAGTTTCAGATCCTAAAATGGACAAGACAGAGAAATCTGAGGATTTAGGTTGATAATGGTGTCCATTTTGTTTATAGAATTCTGCTTGCTTCTAAAGAGGAGTAGTTTCAGCTCCTTTATCTTTGAAGACTATACCAGAAATGGACACATCCAGTGGACAGGCTAAAATTAGTCAGAACATGGTTGAACAGCAGGACCATCCATCTATAGGATGTGATGACTGTCCATGAACTAAGATAGGCCATGTTCTGAACTATAAAGCATATAATGTGTCTAAAAGAAGAGGGCCGGGGATACAACTTAGTGCCACACTATTTATTAGCCCTGGGTGTGATCTCTAGCACAACTACCCGACAGAGAGACAGAGACAATGTGTGTGTGTTGGGGGGGGTCAGTCAGTCACAGAGTTCCTCTTAGACTACAGTAAAATTTCACTCCAAATAAATAACTCAAGGGTTGCTGGAAAACACCAAAGTATTTGAAAGTTAAACAACCTGAGTTATACATAAATCAAAGAAGAATTTTCAAGAAAACCGTTGTTTAAATCTAAGTGGAGTACAGCTCACCACAGTGTGGAGTGCAGCAGAGACCGTACCTGGAGGGAGCTCTGCAGACTCGGGTCAGTGCCTCGCCACGATAGAGTGCGCTTGTTAACGCCCGTAGCCGAAATGAGGTCCATGAGAGGAATGGCTTCTTTCTACCACTCAGATTTTACCCAGTGATGGAAAAGATCAGTTTTCTTGTGGAAATTCCATGGCGGACCAAGCTTTCCTTGATTCCCTCTCAGCAAGCACTGCTCAAGCCAACTCCTCTTCTGCCAACAGCAATAACCAGGTACGTCGTCTCTCCTCCTGCGGCCTAGGCTGGCTTTCTGAGAGCAAAGCTGAGGGAGGCTTGTGGTACAGCACTGCTGTCCTTGCTCCCGAAAGCAGGGTCAAAGTAGCTGTGAGGGGTGTGGTGGGAGGGGGTGCAGTGTGTCACATGAGGGGTGTGTGTGGCGTGAGGAGCATGCAGGTGTGAGGGTGTGTGGCGTGAGGAGCATGCAGGTGTGAGGGTGTGTGGCGTGAGGAGCATGCAGGTGTGAGGGTGTGTGGCGTGAGGAGCATGCAGGTGTGAGGGTGTGTGGCGTGAGGAGCATGCAGGTGTGAGGGTGTGTGGCGTGAGGAGCATGCAGGTGTGAGGGTGTGTGGCGTGAGGAGCATGCAGGTGTGAGGGTGTGTGGCGTGAGGAGCATGCAGGTGTGAGGGTGTGTGGCGTGAGGAGCATGCAGGTGTGAGGGTGTGTGGCGTGAGGAGCATGCAGGTGTGAGGGTGTGTGGCGTGAGGGTGTGTGGTGTGAGGGGCATGCAGGTGTGAGGGTGTGTGGCGTGAGGGTGTGTGGTGTGAGGGGCATGCAGGTGTGAGGGTGTGTGGCGTGAGGGTGTGTGGCGTGAGGGGCGTGCAGGTGTGAGGGTGTGTGGCGTGAGGGTATGTGGCATTCCTGCTGGGTATTAACACAGACCTCACTCACCTGAAATGCCTGCTAAAGACTGCAATACTAATTATAAAATGAAGGGTAGGGTGTTAAAATTTGCTTTTGAGAATATCAGGATATGAATACAGACCGCCCCCCAAAGGCAAATACTCCCCAAAATGAGGGCCTAGAAAGAAGGAAGGAAACATACTGAGGAGGCCTGTCTGCTTGGGCTAACCAGGATAACTTTTGTTATCCTCCTGTCAGAGCAAGAGGCCCCTCATTGCCCATAGAAGCAGTTGAGGTAAAGTTGGGCACAGCCAGGTGCTCGGCACTTACACTCTTGGTTACTGCTACTCGCTGTAAGTACACTTAGTGTGAGCTTGTGTTTTAACGAATGTACACATTTTAAACATGGCATGGTGGCGCACGCCTTTAATCCCAGCACTTGGGAGGCAGGGGCAGGCGGATCTCTGTGAGTTCCCGGCCAGCTGGGGCTACATAGCTAGACTCTGTCTCAAAGACAAAACAAAACAAAGAGAGCTAGAAAGTACATATTACGTGTTTTGTATTTCTGTTAGTGGTTCCTGGAGTCACCAGAGACTCATCTGTAGAACTGAGATCAAGCTCTATGAATAACAAAACTAGGGAAAGGACGGGCTCTTTGGTGGTTTGAGTTGAAATGGTTAGGTTTTCACATGAGAGGACTTTGTATCCTCTGGCCCTTTTGAGAGAAACAGTTAAACCCCCCTCAATTATTCCAATCAGAATGCCCCCCTCCCCCGTGGGGGCCAGTGATAATGTGTTACTTGCTTCCTAGTTTACTTTCTAGTCCAGTGGGCACACAATTACTGAATGTTTAATCAGTGAGAAACGTCACGTCTGATACTATCTTAGTCATGCGGATGAGCGGAAGAGAAAAAACCACCTTCTCTAAACACCACCCCCCGTTAGGAACGACAAATGCTAACTTTCCATTCAGTTTGGTTGTGTACCCCGGGGAAAGTCCTGCGCTGGAAGTTTCCAGTTACCCGGTCCTGTGTCCTCCCTCCATGGCTCCTAGCAGGAACCTGTATATGAGGGTGCAGCTGTCCGGTCAGTCCGGCAGGCCAGGCCAAGCTGCAGCAGGACACATGGCGTACAAGTCGAGCCCTGGAAGCTCTCCCCGTGTATAAGGAGATGGAGCCTTGAATACACACAGGGACTCTCCTTGAAGACAGTAACATGAACTGTGGCTAACCTGTGGTGGGGTGACTCCCTGGTGGACTAGCCAACTAGTTGTCTAGCGACTGTGTTGAGCTTTGGGTGTTTTCTGGAAGGGAACAGTAGGCCGTGGGAGCTGGAGCCCACTCGTGGGTGTCTTACACTTTAGTGTTTCCTTTGTAAACTAGTTTGCTAGTTTGGTTGAAATGCCAAGCAGAAAGCTGCCTCAATGAAAGTAAGTCTCAGTCGTAGTCCACTCACAGGGTCTGACCCAGCTCAGACAGATAGGAAAAGTCACGGTGGCCGTGGCCCATCTTCCTGTGTCTGTGTGTGAGCGAGGCGGTATCTAAACACCTAGAACTCGAAGATGAGTTGGGCTCAGCGTGTTCTCCCAGCAGGCGCCTGCCCTGCCCGGGCTGCACATTTAGGTAGCAGACGCAGGTGCATGCTCTAGGTTCCCCAAGGATGTCTATGGGAAGCAAGATGCAGCCAAATAGAAACACTGTAAAAGGAGAACTGTGTAACCAGCACTTGCCATGAGAGACGATCCCATGCCTGGTCACAACTGTGTGTTACACTGTAGTCCCTGAGTGACCGTGGGAACTTCAGGACTGAATTAGCTCAGATCAGACGTTCTGTGTGAGCCTGCATCATAGATGATATGCTGTGTTTTATGTTACATCACATCAAAGTACTCAGTATCTGGTCAGTCCAGTGTTGAGACCAGATGATGCCTAGGTTATCTGGATGACAGTCTTCCTCCATTATATTGTGTTTTCTCCTTCTGTCCGGAAAATAATCTGCTTGGAATAAAGTTGACGCTCCTCACTGTTCTTTAACAGCCTGTGCCAGTTGCTAACATTGCCTCAATCACTCCAGGTTTTCTTCTGCATGTGCAGGCCTGGCTTTCTTCCGTCCACTTCCCATCACCGGCTGGAGCTAGCTGGCTCGCCCGATCCAGCGTTTTTTTTTTTTTTTTGTTTTTTTTTTTTGGTTTTTCGAGACAGGGTTTCTCTGTGTAGCTTTGCGCCTTTCCTGGGACTCACTTGGTAGCCCAGGCTGGCCTCGAACTCACAGAGATCCGCCTGGCTCTGCCTCCGAGTGCTGGGATTAAAGGCGTGCGCCACCACCGCCCGGCCCGATCCAGCTTTTAAGAGTTCAGGATAAATACAGAATTCCTTCTCTTTAATTGCTAGTTTTCAAACTACATTGTTTTATAGCTGCTTCAGACAGTAGCTAATGAGTTTTCCTCTTTCTTCTTTTGCATAGCATTGTGGGCCTGAGGGTTCAGATTGGCTCAGTGCATTTGGACCCGCTGGAGCTCTTCTGTTTTCTCTGTGTGGTTGTCTGCTGTGGAGGGCTCCCTGGGGCTCTTACTCTACACCAACTAGACCTGATGTTCCCTTCCTTTGCCTGGGTCAGCTCCAGTGGCCAATGTTTTCTATTTGAGATGGGCCCCATTCCACTGCTTTTTCACTCCTGGTAGTCTCCAGGACTGAGGACTGTGCACCCTCATTAATATTTTAAACGTTAATGATATATGTGAGTTATTTTAAAATCCCCATTTCTTTTTGGTTTTAAGCTTTTCTAAGTGTGAGCAGAGGAATATTTCACCTAGAGGTGTCTTTGCCCTGCTACTGAAGTGAACCCTTGTAGTACACCATGCACTGTGAGGATTTCTGCAGTGGTTGGAGGAACTATCCTGTGTAAGGATTCTGCTCTGGATTTCCTCTCATGGTCCTTCTCTGGCTTGCAGAGGTTCCTTACGATGAATTTATTAGGTGTCAACTTTAGACTTAGGGTACCTCTGTAGACCCACAGCTTCCTGGGTTCAGCTCTCGTTCATGCCCTCACTACATCCCTCTTCCCAGGCTCCACCACCAAAAGTCACAGATCACTGGGCTCTGCGGGGTCCTGGCAGGGAATGGGACATTCATAGGTCTCATCATGTTTCCTGTAACCCAGGATGACTGTCCTTCAGTGCCTGGTGATTTGAAAACAGCTTCCTAAATGTTGTCATCTGTAACGTGAGTGAGAATGTTAACTGGGTCCCGTTGGTCCTTCTTGATTACCTTTTCTGTGCCTTGACTTCCAGAATGTACTGTTAAGGGCATCTATGAAATGAGAGTGATGTCATTCATTTCACAAGAGTTGAACTGAACACCTTCGAAACCTTACTGGTGTTCACTCCATGCCGAGCACTGGTGGACCTGGGACTTGGGCTCCAAAGTTGTCAGGAAGTGAGTCAGTGACCACATTCCAGCAAGCGCACACACCAGAGGACATGTACTTTCACCTCTCAGTTCCCAGAGTGGCTGGCCTCTGCTGTCCCTCACTTACAGCTCTGAGTCTGAGTTGAGGTAACAGGGTGGCTTTGGTCATCCTGGCTGGACTCTCACATGATGCTTTTGAAAGGAAAGGGTTAAAATCCTACCATTTTGAAATCTCAGCTGTGTATTTCCTGAGTCTGTCTCACCAGTTCTGTGACATGCATGGCATTTGCCCCCCTCCTGTGCAGCCTGAGTTGTTGTGGGTGCTTCAGTGGTGCTGTATTGTGGTACCAAGGAACAGGCTGGGGGAGATACAACACACTGCCACAGCGTTGGGCTTCTGTGTGTCCTGTTTGTGTGTAGGTGGCATGTAGACTGTTTGGGCTTTGTTGTGAGGTTTCTGGTTTTGTTAAAAGCTGTGCTGTATGTTGCCCCCTGCTCACTGAGTACCTTTTTATTTTAAGGTGAATATTTTGACTCAGATTGGTTGTGTTGAAAGTCTCAGCCAATCGCCTCCTTCTTCTTCTTCTTCTCCTTCTCCTTCTTCTTCCATAAATAAGGTAAATTTGAGATGTAAATAACTACATGAAGAAATAATCATCTAACAACCCTGACAGATGTTCTTTTCCTGTGTGGTAATTTGAGAAAGCTCTTCTGGGGCTTGGTCGGCCAGATGTGACTGAAAGAGTCAGGACCTACAGACTGCAGCTGAGACATTTCCTGCGGCCCCACAACTCATGGAGATCTAGTGAACGGTTTGAGTCTGTGAGTGACAGGAGACCCTGGTACCAGGAAGGGGCAGAAAAGAAAAGGCTGAAAATGTTGCTCAGTGGAAATGACTGAGGAGGGAAAAGGGAAAGAACAAGCTAGGGAAGAGGACCCTCAGCTCAGAAACAGAGTGGATTAGTGTGTGGTCACTAGGGAAGAGGACCCTCAGCTCAGAAACAGAGTGGGTTAGCGTGTGGTCACTAGGGACATGGGACCCTCAGCTCAGAAACAGAGTGGGTTAGTGTGTGGTCACTAGGGACATGGGACCCTCAGCTCAGAAACAGAGTGGGTTAGTGTGTGGTCACTAGGGAAGAGGACCCTCAGCTCGGAAACAGAGTGGGTTAGTGTGTGGTCACTAGGGACATGGGACCCTCAGCTCGGAAACAGAGTGGGTTAGTGTGTGGTCACTAGGGAAGAGGACCCTCAGCTCAGAAACAGAGTGGGTTAGTTTATGGCTGAGCCTTTCAAGACAAAGAGGTTGTTGGGTTGAGAGCAAAGGAATTAGTGGCCAAAGGACCTTTAAAACAGATCATTATATCCCAGCTTGTTACATTGGGATCAGATTGTGAAAACACCAAGCTCTTAGCATTGAGGGTTTCTAGAGTGTTTCTCCCACGGCCCTGGAGCTGGATGTTACCGCTGACTTCGCTTCTGCCTTCTGAAGGAAGCAGATCTTTGGCTAGTAGAAAATATTTTAAATGTCTAGTTTCATCTCTTTAGTTTAAAATGTCTCCAGTAACGTGGCCTGGCATTTAAACTGTTTGGAAATGTACCCATGGCCTTCTCCTTTTAGCATAAAGGAGGAGGTTACTCCTCAGTGAACTGCTGGCTTCCTCTTTTCTCTGTAATTTATTTGGGGGCAGTGGCTTGCTCTATAACCCAGGCAGCTTCTAGAAGTTGCCATGCAGCAGGCTTCCTGCCTCATCAAGTGTCGTTTCTTTACGTTCAGGTGAACCCCCACATATAAGATAACACTCCTGAGCCCTCCTTTGTCAGTACTGTGTGCGTTTATCAATTCATACTTAACAACCCCCTGAGGAAGTTAGTGTTGCAGACCCCCCTTTTTAAGGTGTGGGAGCTAAGGAGGGCGAATTGCTCATGTGCAAGTAGCTAGTAAGTAGGAAAACTGGGATTCAAGCCTAGATAAATGTCAGAGCCCGAGTTCTTAATCCCTGCACTCATGTGAGGGTTCCTTGGCCCCGTTCTTACAGAACAGTTTGGAATCCGCCTAGCTGGCCGGCATTCCGGCCTTTCCCACGGTCTGTGAGGTTGAGCCCCGGAGCCCATGTTTGGGTTGGTGATGGGCTGCAGCACATGTGAGTGACCACCCCATAAGATTCTGATGAGCCGAACATTCCTGTTGGTGACACCATCCCTGGCCTAATGCATTGCTCCTGCGTGTGTGTTTGTGCTGACACATCGTGTAAAGTGTGCACTCGGTTATGCACACGCAGCACAGGGACAGACGGCTGCCTGCTGGTTTACTGTTCACTACACTTCACAGCCCATTGTCTCCGTCTTTTCCTTGAACAAGAAGTTAGCCGGGCAGCAGTGTCAGACGTTCCGGTGTGCTGCACCTCGTCACTGAGTCGTCCTCTCCCTTGATTGAATCTCATGTTGGTTTGCTCACTGTGGCCTTTGAGCAGTAAGCCATAGCACGTATGTGTCCCGGGTAGCCTTGGTAGATACTAGCTTGTCTACCTGGGTTTGTACGCAGGCTGTACCAGAGCACAGTCACCTGGATGGATTTCTCAGGAAGTAGCTTATTAAACACACTTATTAAACACGTCTGTCATGAGTATAGTTCCCCTGTGGTTATAGATACATGAGTGTGCAACGTGCACACCTACCTACCACTGCTTCCTTTGTGGCCATCCCAAGTTCATTCTCAGGTCCCTCTGTTGTCAGATACAAGGCTGGTTTCCTCAGACACTGAAGGTAATGCTCTAAGTTCTTTCAGGAGCTGGCTTGAAATAACCTCCTGTTACACAGGATGAGGTTACACAGGCAATAACCTGTTAAACAGCCTCTGTGTGTGTGTGTGTGTGTGTGTGTGTGTGTGTGTGTGTGTGTGTGTGTGTCTGTCTGTCTGTCTGTCTGTCTGTCTTAGGAGGGTTTGATAGCCTTTAGATGTAAAGTTTCAGACAGGCAGCTATGTGGAGTCTGTTGCTCCTGGATGTTGAACCGGACTTCGTAGAGTTGGGGTCGGGGTTAGGTACAGAGGTCAGACATGATCAGTGAGTTACAGAACAGGAGGGATTGCGTTGGCCGTACCTCCAGGTAGACATTCTAAAGTGGCAGGCCTGTTGTTCACCTGCTTATCCTTGACTCCCCTTGAGTGTATTTCTTTTGAAAATAAGAATTGAGACCTACTGAAAAGTAGCTAAGGTCAGTGGAGAAGGGCCTCGGCAGTAGCAGGTATAATGGCGTTCTAGCAGATGCAAGAGAATGTTGACGTCAGTGAGAGCAGGCTGACGTTGCTTATCCCACTCGCCTGTGTTTTCACGTGGGTTGGGGGCATAGAAATTTCGATATATTTCCCACTGATTCTCCCAGCACTTTGATTGTTCTCAGTTGACCTGTCAACCCATTGCTAATGGAGTCACAGTTTCTAGACGTCAATAGTCTTTCTCCTTTTCCTCTCCCACACAGGTTGGTGGTGGCAATGACCCTTGGTCAGCCTGGAATGCCCCCAAATCTGGGAACTGGGACAGCTCAGATGCCTGGGGCAGCAGGACAGATGGAGCTGGCGCTCAGAGGAACAGCACTAACAACTGGGACACTGCCTTCGGCCACCCACAGGCCTACCAAGGACCAGGTGAGGGGAGGCTGCTGCTGGAGTGACTTAGGGGAAAGCGGGTGACAGGCTAATCTTGCTGTCATCAAAGTCAGCACAGCACAGTGACTCTGGATGGAGGGTCCCACAGTGTCCTCAGCACTGACACCATCTCCTGGGGACAGTGGGCTCTCCCAGCATTACCTTCCATGGAACCTTCCTGGGTCCCATGAACTTGCTCGAACAGTGCACAGAACTCAGGGAATCACTCGACTTACTGTTTATTACAAGGAGTAAACCAGGGGGTGCAAATGAGCAGCCAGGTGAGGAGGTGCATAGGGGAGGCATGGGGAGGGGGGTACTTCCAGGCCCCCTCCCGTCATAGCCCCCCCCCCAGCACCTGCACGTGCTCACCAGTGAAGACACTGTCAGAACCTGTGGCCCGGGGCTGGTGTGGAAACCTCATCCCGTTGGCGGCCGGTCTCCTCCTCACAGAGGATGAGCTGGGGATGAAGACTGAGCTTCCTGTCGGTCACAGCTTGTGTTTCCTGGGGGTGAGCTTCAGTCCCAGAGTGCACCATGAGTCAGTCTCCTCTGGACTAGAAGGTACTCCTGTCATCCAGGAAACGCCAGGGCGTGAGCACTGGGTCTAGAGACCTGCTTGACTCTGCCTCTGGGTTTAAGCAGAGGAGAGATGTATTGAAGGAGAACAGTTCAATGACTGAGAAAGGATATTTGCACCAGGCTAGGTGGCGGTGGTGCACACCTTTAATCCCAGCACTCAGGAGGCAGAGGCAGGTGGATGTCTGTGAGTTCGAGGCCAGCCTGGGCTACAGAGTGAGTTCCAGGACAGCCAAGGATACACAAAGAAACCCTGTCTCAGGGAAAAAGAGAAAGGGTATTTGGAACAGAGAAGGAAGCTTAGTTGGCAAAGGATCTGAGTTTGATCCCCTATGGAAAAAAAAAATACCTATTGAAAAAACCGCCAGGCTGGTGGCCGAGATGAAACAGGCCACCCAGCCTAGGCTGCTTGGTGACCTCCAGGCCAGCGAGAGACTCTGTCTCAAAAAACATGGTCAGGGCTGGAGCAAGGGCTCAGTGTTTAAAAGCACTTGTTGCTCTTGCAGAAGACCAAGGTTCATTCCCCAGCACTCACTCACATGCAGCTAACAGTTTCTGTACTTCAGTTCCAAGGGATATGATGCCCTCTGCTGGCCTCTGTGGGCACTGCATGTACATGGTGCACATACACATTAAAAATAAAATTTAAAAAAGAAAAGACAGATAGCCTTCCTGAGGAACAACATCCAAGGTTGTGCTCGGGTTCCCATGTGTGTATACCACCCCCACACAAATGTACATGTGCACACACGCATACATAGCACAGACACGCACACTCCCCCGAGGACGTTCATGTTCATTCTGGAGCTGAAAAGATGCAGGTCTGCTTGTGCTGACACCTCTCGCTCGCTTCTTGCTCTTGGTGTGGTGTCTCAGCTTCTGTGCGACACGGCAGAGCCCCACAGCAGACGCACTCCTGCCCTCTCTCAGCCCGTCGTCATTGCTGGGCAGTTGTCTTTAGAGGGGGCGTCCTTTTTCCTCGCTAACGTCTTTAAGAAGTTTTTTTTTCTTATTTGTAAATGTGTAAGAATAAATTTGTCCATGCCAAGACCTCTAGAAGGCTTCTCTTGGGTACCAGGCCACACTGCTGTAGTCTGCATTAATCAGAAACTACTCAGAGCAGCAAAACAGTGCTTTTAAACAGGGTAGGGTGGCATATGCCTTTAATCCCAGCACTTGGGAGACAGCGCCAGGTGGATCTCTGTGAGTTTGAGACCAGCCTGATCTACAAAAGTGAGTTACAGAACAGCCAGAACTACATAGTGGGACCCTGTCTCAAAATCACCAAGAAAACAATAAAAATTCTATATTGAAGCTCTACAGCATGTTTTGATGTACATAAGAAAGTGATTACTGCAATTAGAAATTAACAAGCCATCACCTCATAGTGTGATGTTTCCTGAGAGTGTCTAAAATCTTGGCAAACCTCCAGTATACAATAAAACATTAACAATTGCCCCAGGCCATGCATAAGAGCCGGAGACTCACTCCTGAAAGCTTCACTGTCTACCCTCCCATCTACATCCCTGCACCCTCTCCCCATCTTGTCTACATCTCTACATCCCCCTCCCCATCCCATCTACATCCCTGCATCCCCTTCCCATCCTTAGTGGTAGCAGTTCTTCTTCCTGCTTCCACATGCCCAGTAGTGTTTAAGATTCTACATAGGCTGAGATGCTATTACTTGGCCTTGTAGTGGTATTGTGTTCCCCAAAATATTGTGTACTCTAATAAACTTATCTGGGGTCAGAGACAGAACAGCCACAATATTAAACATAGAGATTAGGCAGTGGTAGCACACACCTTTAATCTTAGCATTCTAGAGGCAGAAATCCATGTGTTCAAGAATACAGCCAAGCATGGTGACTCACACCTTTAATCCCAGGGAGTGATGGTAGAAAGCAGAAAGGTGTATAAGGCATGATGACCAGAAACTAGAAGCATTTTGGCTGGTTAAGCTTTTAGTCTTTCGAGCAGCAGTTCAGCTGAGATCCATTTGGATAAGGACTAAGAGGCTTCCAGTCTGAGGAAACAGGATCAGCTGAGGAACTGGCGAGGTGAGGTAGCTGTGACTTGTTCTGCTTCTCTGATCTTCCAGCATTCACCCCAATACCTGGCTCAGGTTTGATTTTATTAATAAGAACTTTTAAGATTCATGCTACATGGCCTTCTGGGCCTGGGATTGTTTAAGTGTGTGTCATAGTGTCATCTACATAATGCCACATTGTGTATGTGTTCCTCAGTTTCTTCACCCGTTCATGTGCTGATAAACACTTGGGTTGACTCCCACATCCTGGCTACTGCAGGTATTGCTTCAGTGAATGTTGGAGCAAAGATAGCTCTGCAAGGTGCTGATGTAATTCCTAATGGGCAGCCAAGTCGAGTTTTGTTTCATTTTGTTTTTCTTGTTTTAAAGGATCCCCATACTTTTCTGTAGTTCTACTGATTTCCAGTCACATCAAGGCTACAAGAACTCCATTTTCTCTGCACCCTTGCCAATGATTCAGTCTTCTTTAGAGCTTAGCAACTATAATCAGCACACAGCTTTTTTTTCTTTCCTATGTAAGTAAAACTTCCACCTTTTCACTTAAGGAAGGACTTTATATCTATTCTTGGATGTATCTCAGTTGCTAGCCTCACACGATTCTTGTACTTCACTATACCATCGTTAACATTGACCACTTGAACATAAGCACCGTGGTTCTACTCAGTCTGTCTGATAACCAAGGAAACAACTTATATAGGCCGGGCAGAGGGAAAGTTCACACCCCAAGCAGGATAGTGTGAGATTTCATCATGCAAAACTTGCATATTGATTCTTTCTTAAACCTTCCATTTAGTATTTCCCAGGCCATTGTTGACCACAGATAATGAAAACTGCAAATAATAAGGAAAGTGAAGCCCTGAGTAAAGAGGCCTGTGGTGTTTGCTTGCTCATTATTGAATTGTTGGGCGGCGGGTGTTGCTCTTTTGAAGATTTTACTTACTTTTGTTTTATATGTATGAGTGTTTTGCCTGCTTGTGTGTCTGTACACTGTGAGTGTGCAAAGCTCTGAGAGGCCAGGAGAGGGCATTGGCTTTCCTGGAATTGGAGTTATAGGCGGCTGTTGGCCACCATTTGTGCTGGGAGCAGCCAGTGCTCCTGACTGCTAAGCTGGCTCTCCAGCCTTACAGTATTGAAGTACATGAGTTCCCTATGTATTTGGAATTCTGACCCTTTATCACGTGAGGGTTCACAAATGCATTCTCTTCTGTCTATAAACTGTGTGTTTAGCCCGGTGGTGGTGGCCCATGCCTTTAATCCCAGCACTCAGGAGGCAGAGCCAGGCGGATCTCTATGAGGCCAGCCTGGTCTACAGAGCGAGATTCAAGACAGGCACCAAAACTACACAGAGAAACCCTGTCTCAAAAAAACAAAACAACAACAACAAAACCCCTGTGTGTTTATTCATCGATTGTTGCTCCCATGCTGTGCAGGCCCCCGCTGGTTGGATGTGGCCCTGCTTGTTAGGTTTGCTGTAGTTCCCTGACTTCTGTGTGACACCAAAACAAAGAGCTGAGGGCATGCCAGGGGGATTCTTCTCCCATCATCCTCTGGGAGTCTGACGGTTTGGGATCTTACATTTAAGTGATTGGTTTTCTGTTGACTTTTTTAGATGATGTAAGGGAAGGGCCCAGGCTTTAATCTTATGTGTGGACATCCAGTTTTCCCAGCACCACTGACTGAAGAAGCTATCCACTGAGGCACTTGTAAAGAGGTTGTTAACTGATTGCCTTGTTCAGCCTAGTTCTGCTTTGTCTTTTGCATTAAAAAAAAAAAAAAAGGCAGAATTCCTAGGTCAAGCCTTGAGACTGACTGTGAAACCTGTGTTCTTCAGATCCATGAGACAGTCAGCACTGGACTCTGCTTTACAGCTCCTTAAAAACTGGCGATGGTGGCTCAGGCCTTTAATCCCAGCACTCAGGAGGCAGAGCCAGACGGATCTCTGTGAGTTCGAGGCCAGCCTGGTCTACAGAGTGAGTTCCAGGACAGCCAGGACTGTTACACAGAGAAACCCTGTCTCAAAAAACCAAAACCAAAAAACCCTGGTTATCTCAAGCAGTTGTTTACAGTGAACTCAAGCAATCTCACTTATGTTTTCTTTCTTGCTGTTTTGTGTTTTTGTTTTTCCTGCGTACAGCAACTGGTGATGATGATGAATGGGATGAAGAATGGGATGACCCCAAGTCCTCCTCTTCTTACTTTAAGGACTCGGAATCAGCTGAGGCAGGGGGTGTCCAGCGAGGAAACAGCCGTCCAGGTGCCTCGTCCATGAAGCTGCCCCTTAACAAGTAAGTTTAAAGGGGAGCAGGGGATGTCCACACACACACACACACACACACACACACACACACACACACACACACACACACGCAGGCACACGCACACCGCAATGCAAGAAAAGTTTTACTTTTTTCTAGTTAGTAATCTACTGAATTGGAGTCTTGTTTGGCCTTTGAATCTTAGATTAGAAGCTGATTTCATTTCATCAGTTTCACAAGGTTAACAAGTGAAGTGTTTATTCAGTTATACAAGCATGGCGCACACCTGTAATCCCAGCACATGGAGGTGGAAGCATGAGAATCTGAAGTTCAAGACAATCCTCAGCTGTAGGGAGCAAGTTCGAAGCCAGCTTGGGACGCCACAAAAAAAACCTTCAAAATTCCTTTTATTGCCTTTACTTATAAACTCCATGATATACTAATGTTTTATCAATAAAAATAAGTATTACTAGGCATTATTTTTAGCTAAGGAAAGCAGGTCTCTCAATGCTTTCCTGTTTTATTGATCACTTCCCATGTGCCAGACATTGTGCAGCGGTTCATGGGCACCCTCAGATCCCGTTGTGGGATATGGCGCCCTGTTTTACTACAGGGAAAACGGAAGCCTGTTCACAGTCACACACATGGTAGGTGGGCCTATCAGGATTCCAGGCACGTGATCTGTGGAATGTGTTTTTAATACATGTTTTCACCTAGAGTTCTCTTAGCTTAAGGAAAACTACGTTCATGGAACTTGTAGATCTACTGCTTGTGAATGTGGACACAGCCCTGGGGGATTCTGGGTAGATCCACTACTTGCGAATATGGACACAGCCCTGGGGGATTCTGGGATAAGGAATGATGTTAATAAGCGCTCTTCTCCCAGCAGTCACACTTAAAACAGTGTGTCCCAAACTGCTAATACTGTCTCAGTACTTCCTCTAGGTCTACAATTCAGAGTGCATTCAGGGGAAGTCAGTTTGTGTCTGAATTGTTTTTGTTTTTGTTTTGAAAGCCTTCGTTTAGCATCTATCTAGAGATTAGGGTCAAAGTCTTGTACCTTGTGTGATGGGGCCTGCAAGGTCTCCATAGTCTATCTGGATAGCAGGGGATTAATTGAGCTCTTAGACCACACAGTTTCATGCCTCTCCAGTTTCTTCCATTATGGTTTTTGTGCTCATTTGTGTGCACAATAAAATTAGTCATGGTCATCTGCTGTTTGCTTATCTCTAAGATTACAGAGTTCTCAGTAGGATTGGTTGTGGAGGACATTTTTCTCAGTTCTCTCAGCCTAAATGTAAAATGAGTTTAAAGCCCTTTTACATGTGGTCTGTCTCTTGGTCTTCGGAAAAGTAGAGACAGCAGAACAAGCAAGCAGCTGAAGTCTCCTGCCAGCGCAGGAGTCAGGCCCGCCCTCGGCTCTGCACCTGCTCCCGGTTGTTCTGAGTTTGATGTCTGTTTTAGTCCCTGTTTCCACCTGGTCGCCTTGTCCCTGGAGAGTCTTTGTACTCTAAGATGTCATTCCAGCTTGAAACCAGATTAGAGCAGGCCGATTTGAACCTGTTCCTCTAAGACTTCTGTCTCTTTATGGTCAGGGAACAACCTAAAGCCTTGGGTGTTTTTAAGTACTCAGCTCTTCAACAATTCACTCTATGTTAGCTATCGTCTAGTTCTAGCAGATAACCCTTGTGCCAGAAAAGGAAGTTGGATATGTAAATATACTGGAGCATTATGAGTACACATCTGACAGTGATAAGAAATTAATGTGTTATGTTGCTGTTTACCTAATAATAATTGACTCTGCATGGATGTGGGTGTGTTAGCAAGTGGCCATTGCTCCAGCTCTAATTGGCCCCTGGGTCCTGGGGCTCAGGGAGACGTCATGTCTGCCCTTCACTCTGTTGTTGGTAATAGCTGTTTCAGACTTGATTCAGCAGGCAGAGAACCTGTGAACTTCACACCTGCTGGAGCCATGTGTTCCCTTCCGGTGCTCATGCTTCAAGGAGTGGCTCACTGGCCACCGGGGCACCTGATTACCCTTTACGGTTTCCATCTGAAAGACAGGACAAGGTTAAAACTGGTGTTGAGGTCACATGGTGGAACTGTAGAGTTTGTATGAGGAAGGGCAGAGGCTCACAGTTCTTATCTTCGTGATCAGGTTTCCTGGATTTGCGAAGCCTGGCATGGAACAGTACTTGTTGGCCAAGCAGCTAGCAAAGCCCAAAGAGAAAATCCCCATCATTGTAAGTTTGTTCGTTCTTGTCTGTTTGTTTATTTCTAATTAAAGTTTTTTATAATGTCTAAGCTAAGAACGTTAGTCTTTTTGGAAGTATTTTTAAGCACATTGTCCCAGGTAGTTGATAATGTTATTAGGAGAACTAAAGATAATCAGCATAAATGAATGATTGCCACTGTTTCTCTCAATTTCCTCTGTTTATCTTTCCACAATTAACATTCAACCAATGCTCGTACATTTTAATACTTTTTCTTTTCTAAAATGCATTAGGCTGCAAGACTTAGAGCTTTTGTTACATTCTGTTTTTCTACCAGCCTTATTTGCTTAGCCAATAAACTCAGTTCAAATTTTTATGTTTCTACCCTGATGGAAGTAGAGCACATCATTAGGAAAAGGTGCTTTTCCCATTATACTGGTAATAGAATTTCTTCCAGTAAACTAGCTGTCAGCTCAAGATAAGGGGCTAGCAAATAAAAGCTGGGAGTTAATGGCACCAGCAACGATTTAATTTGTCTTGGTGAAATGATTATTACATAATGTGACAAATGCTCTTTGGTTTCATCCCATACTTTGATTGTTAATACATTTCTATCTAGGCAATATCTAGTGAAATTCTAGGGGGAGAAAGGTCTGTGACTGTTTTGTAACCCTATTGACTTAACCTGCAGCTGATGGAAGCCTTGGATGTAATCCCCATGGCTGCAGGCAAGCAAGCATAAGGAACCACCTGCCTCTTCCAAACTTTGGTTCCAGGGACCCATGATGAAATACCAGGAATGATAATGGATCCTTGAATTACTTTCCCTATCTGTAAGAAGCTTAAAATTCTAGGAACAGCCAGCCAGAAGTGCAATATCCCCAAGCCCCTGTACCCTTTGTCCCTCAAAACATGTTTGGGGTAACTATCACTGAGTGGTTTGACTTAAGAAGATTTGAATCTTTTTGTTTGTTCCAGGCTGGGGGAGGGGAGGCTGACATACATCAGGAGCCTTCTTATTGAATTTAAAGCTCTGGAGTTAAGAACCCACAGTTTGCCCCTCACATTCTAATGTGGACATTGTCACGGGCAGGACTGTGGTAGAGCAGAGCATGGCGTCCGCGCTCTGTCCAGGAGTTTTGGCAGAGAGAGACCAAGGATCCCTGTGGGCAGGCCTGGCTGTCAGTTTCTCACATAGCCAAGAAATGGGAAAGCCACTGAGTCCTCAAGAGGCGAAGACAGCAGAGGCCCAGTTTGTGCTTAGGATAAGCAGAAACGTTACTCACTGATAGCATAGGCCTGGTGAGTTGGGGACTAGGCAGTTGATCTTTGTCCTCTTCACAGAGGGTTGCTGCTCAAGATGGGCCCCAGTTGCTGTCCTGAAGCTTAGCAGAGCCTCCGGGATATAGCCCCTGAGGCAGCTTAATTGTATTCTCCTAGAGACCTCTGTAGTGCCTTGTTAATCATCTCCAGTCCTCAGCCACCTTCCTTAGTGACCCCTGCCTGGGCTTTGTGCCCCATCCTGCATTTCCCTCTGCCACCTCGGACAGAATGTGAGATGGGCAGTCCTGTCCCCTCGCCCCTGCTGGCCTTGTGGAAGTCTCAGCTTGCACTTACCTCTCTTCAGCCCCATCTGCTGCTCTTCCTCAGTTCCTTTTCACGTCTAACCGGCTGAAATAACGGCTGTCAGGCTGTGGCCTGCGTCACACTGTTTGGAAGTTAGAACAGTGCTGTTCAAGCTTCATTCACAGACTGTTTACCAGTCAGCCCTGTAATTAGTTAAAAACCAGATGAGAGTACTTACAAAAACTGAGAATATGAAGTCATTGACAAAATCCTGATACAGAAATTTTTGTTTCACACAAAAAAGTCTATGTTAAAAGTTTTTTTTTTTTTTTTAAAAAAGCCTTTTGTCACATTTACGTTTAAATTGTGGTCTAAAGGAGGGAGTCCTTCTGTGCTCAGCTCGCTAGATGTGAGCCAGTTTCTCTTCCTCCTGAGACAAGATGTCCGCATGGAAGAGATGGGCTTCTCTGAACAGCTGTGGTTTTGTAGATGTGATGTCTCGTAGAGCTCCAGCCAGTCCTTCTTCTCCAGTAGTGAAGGCGTGGGACTGCAGTTCTGAAAGGAGCTGCCCTCGGCTGGGTTGCAGTTGTAGTACCATTTTCCCAGGTTGCAGAATTAACTTCTCCTCCGTCACTGTTTAGGTTGGAGATTATGGCCCAATGTGGGTTTATCCTACCTCTACTTTTGACTGCGTGGTAGCAGATCCCCGAAAAGGTTCCAAAATGTACGGTCTGAAGAGCTACATTGAGTACCAGCTAACCCCCACCGTGAGTACCCGCTCTAAAGGAGGCCGCTGCCGCAGGCATTCCCCATCTCAGTGCTTGGTGTTGCTAACGAAGGCCTTTTCCTTTTTCCCTTATTTTTCAGAACACTAATCGATCTGTAAACCACAGATATAAGCACTTTGACTGGCTGTATGAGCGTCTCCTAGTTAAGTTCGGGTCTGCCATTCCGATCCCTTCTCTTCCAGACAAGCAGGTGACAGGTGAGTGTAAGCAATGCTGCTCAGAATGACAGGTGGAGAGCTGACTAGGTTATCCTCCCGATGTGCAAGAGTGCAGGTGGTCACTAATGTCTCAGAAGAGTCTGTCCACAAATGTGGAAGTTACCTGAGCATCTACTAGAAACTTCTGGCAAACTTAGCTATCAGAGAGCTTGTGTATACACCTTGAATCCCTCATTGTCTTTATTTCCTTCTACCAAAAAAAGTACGTTTTTTTAAGTGTGAGAAATGGAACCTTAGAAAATAGAAGTCATCTGAACGACCTAAAATGCAAATAAAAGCTTGAGACCCAGATGACAGGAGGCGGGCTCTGCCGCCCTGCTGTTTTGTGTGTGGAGAACACGTGGAGAAGGCAGAGCCTCTGGTTGTTCGTGAGGAAGAAAGAATTCGTCACCACTCATTCGTACCCTCTCCCCTGTCTTGTGTATTTCAAAGTGTCCCTTTGTTCCACCTTGTCCTGCCCCCGAGATCTTGTGGTAATTGAGAGTGGCTCGGCAGTGCAGAACGGGCGCTGCTCTGGCAGAGGCCCAGCTGCAGGTTCTAGCACTTGTGTTGGGCACTTACAGTTGCCTGCAACTCCAGCTGCAGCCTCCACCAGCACCTGCATGCATGTGTGCATACCTACACACACACACACACACACACACACACACACACACACACACACACACACACACTTGAAAATAATACAAATATCTTTTAAAAATGAAAATCTCAGCTCAGTAATCCACATGCTACCAGATCTCCTGTACATCTGGTCAGAAAGGGTTTGCCTCTGTCCTTAGAAACTGACATCTGAGATGTGAGTCTTTTCTAGTGTGGGTCTGGGGATAAGTGCTTGAGGCTCTGTAAGCGTGACTTAGAACACAGGGTTTCTAAAGAGGCTGAGCTTCCCCAAACTAAGAGTTTCAATAGATAGAAACTGTTCACGTGACAAAAGCGGCCCGTGTAGAAGAAGGAATAGACGGAGGGCCAGAGTGAGGCTTAGCCAGTCAGATTTAGAGGGGCCTGGGAGAGGAGAGAGGGATTGGGGGAAGCAAGGCCCTTCCTAAAGAGAAGCCAAAGAAGGCTTAACTCTCAGTAAGAGTTGAGGAACTCAGGGAGGGACCACAGATCATCTTAGCCCGCCCGATGACAGTGCCTGGGTGAGACTTGAGCATTGCAGGCACTCTGTCCTGGGGTCAGTCCCTGTGCCCTGGGACACTTCCTGAGTCCTGTCCTCTCTCTGCCTACGGGTAGACACTTTCCTTTATAGTACAGGGAGGGAAACAGACCCCAGCATCAGACAGGCTCTTCTGTCCTGCTAAGCAGGGAGTTTGTGTTTGATCCTGAAGTTCTCTATGTTTGTGTTATGAGATTGAACCAGTTAATCTTTAGCTAGAATTATTATCTTCAAGATAAGCAAGTCATTTTCCTTAAAATTGTGTATTTTATTTCATTTTCTGTTTACATTCCTCTGGAGGTGTTTGTATTGTCTTTTTGTTGCTTTGTTTTGTAGAGATGAAATTTTTAGTTTTTGAAGAAGTTGTTTGGGCTTGGATTATTTTGTTTTGGAAACTTTAAAAACTTGACATTGTTGAAGTGGGATGGAGCGTGCTGCTCTGCCCAACAGTCACTGCAGTGTTTCCATAATGATGCTGCAGTGTTTCCATAGTGATGCTGCAGTGTTTCCATAGTGATGCTGCCGTGTTTCCTTAGTGATGCTGCCGTGTTTCCTTAGTGATGCTGCAGTGTTCCCATAGTGATGTTACAGTGTTTCCATAGTGATGCTGCAGTGTTTCCATAGTGATGCTGCTGTGTTTCCTTAGTGATGCTGCAGTGTTTCCATAGTGATGCTGCAATGTTTCCTTAGTGATGCTGCAGTGTTTCCTTAGTGATGCTGCAATGTTTTCTTAGTGATGCTGCAGTGTTTCCATAGTGATGCTGCTGTGTTTCCTTAGTGATGCTGCAGTGTTTCCATAGTGATGCTGCAATGTTTCCTTAGTGATGCTGCAGTGTTTCCTTAGTGATGCTGCAGTGTTTCCATAGTACATCATCCCAGCAGTCCTGAGTGATGCTGCAGTGTTTCCAGAGTGATGCTTCAGTGTTTCCTGAGTGATGCTGCAGTGTTTCCATAGTACATCATCCCAGCAGTCCTGAGTGATGCTGCAGTGTTTCCATAGGGCTGGTGCCAGCGAATGGACCCCAGGGTGTTGGAGACCATAGCTTCCTTCCACTCAGAGTGTCAACATACCCACAAACTGCTCTACAACCCATTCAGATCACACTCCCTGTCCTTCTAGTCATCCTTTTTGCTTTAAATCAGAGCTTTCTTTTTAAAACAGTAGATTTGTTTCCAGTTCCTTCTTCATGTTATAAATTTCAGTCTGTGCCCTTGAATTTTATACTCTACTTTTATCCAATGGATTGGAATAGCGTATGCTTCGTGGTTTTTAAATGGACAAGCCGAGGTTTTCAGCCAAGTAACTCATTATTGATTTAAAGCATCATCGAGTTCTCAGTCTTCCACACTAAGGTTTGTCTTTTAGAAAGCAGGGGGAGTACAGGCATGCAGCCAGGGGCAGGCACAGCACAGCAATCAGCGCCTCAGTCTGAAGAAAGTCCGGCTTTGATCGCTCTCTGGAGGCGTGCCGAGGACACCGTGAGGCACAGATCAGCCTTATTCCCCTTGTCTCCTGCCTGTGGTACCCACAGGATCAGTGCTGTCTGTAGATGGCCCTCACTGAACTCCTAGACAAAAGGAAGAGGAAGTCTGGGAGATGATGTCATGATGCTTGTCCACGGAAGTTCATAGGTGACATATTCTGTTTGCAGATTTCATCCTTTGTGAAAACAGGACAGAATCAAGCAGGTTGTATTTTGGGATTCCAAAAGATTATTTTCACACTCTTAGTGAAAACTTAGGTAAGGTTTATGGAAAATGGATAAACTTAAGTCCCTTCTGCCCCCTTGGTTACAAGTCTCTGGGACCTGGTATAAATAGCTAGTAAGCATAAAATACCATGCAGAGTCCTAGCTGAACCAGCTGTGTCTGAAGGATTCTCACAAGGAGGACTGTTAAATAAAAATGATCGAATTTCAATCACTGACTAATAAATTCGAGCGCTGATTCCTTGCTCGAGGAGGAGTTCAGGACATCCCAGTATGTACACCTGCCAGGTCCTTCTGTCGGTGAAGGAGCCGCCGTCTTTCCCAAGGCTGAGACCGAGTCCCAAACCATTAAGCTTAAGCAGTACATGCTCTGCGCTCCTACTGAGTGTGCAGAGGGAGTGCTCTTGCATATGAGAGGCTTTGGGTGAGACCGTGGTGTTCACAGGCCACTTTAGGTGCGCACACTCCTGATAGATGGTCCATCTCACGGGAAGATTTCTCACGTGTGCACTCCTCTGAAGGAAAGTTGAGGCTCATTTTCTGACTCCATGCAGTAAGTTCGTTCTTTGGCGTGCCGTTAGAGTCCTGTGGCCAGCACTGTGTTTGATACCCAGGGCAGTTCTGTGGCCTCCCGAAACTCCACGGTGCTCAGCGTTGATTTCCTCTAGTCCTGTCCTTGACAATATTTAACCAGTTCTTTGTTGCTATAATTCTGCCGGATGGTGGGGGCACACGCCTTTAATCCCAGCACTTGAGAGGCAGAGGCAGGCGGATCTCAGTGAGTTCGAGGCCAGCCTGGTCTACAGAGTGAGTTCTAGGACAGCCAGAACTGTTACACAGAGAAATCCTGCCCCCCCTTAAAAAAAAAAAACTAAATTAGTAATTTTGCCTTTTCTAGAATGCATCATGAGTAGAAACAGTGCAGCTAAGATTAATGCTTTTGTTGGATCAGTAATTTTCCTTTATTGCTGTTATTAGATGTGCAGATACACTGTAATTCTTTATCCTTTCATACACTGAAAGACATTTAAACTAGTTCGAGGTAATTGTAGCATTACCAATATAGATACTTTGTTCTAATTTCTTATTGTTATGGAGACAGGAGCTCACTGTATAGCTCAGGCTGGCCTGAAACGCATTACATAACCCAGGTTGGCCTCAAAGTGTTGTCCTCTTGCCTCAGCTCACCAGTGCTATGAGTATAGACACATTATGACATGCAGACTAGCAAACAGATTTTTATATGATCCTGAACAAATTTTCTTTGGGGTAAATTCCCATCATGAACAGATAGATCAGTTGGTTTGCATTGTGCTTATGAATGTGTCAGACTGGCTGTATGATTTTGGAATCCATATCAGTGATATATGAAAATGCCCATGAGTCCACATCTTTACCCACACTAGGCAATGTCAGTTTTTCATTGATTTTGCTGACTATTCTTGTAGGCATGTAGTGGTAGATTTTGTTTGGGATTTCATTCCGTACTGATGGGTTGTGTAGAGTATCTTTTCATGCACTTATTCCTATCCATGTGTCTCTGGTGAAGTGTCTGTTCAAAACTTTGCTTGTTTTCTTAACAATTTTTGCTTGTCTCTTTTTTATTGCCGAATTTGTTCTGTATGGGTCTAGAAACAGTTCTCCGTCGGGTGTGTGATGTGTACATGATTGCTCCAACTACAGCTTGCCTTTTTGTTCTCTAGACAGTGGGTAGCAAAAGCCTTTCGTTTGGAGACATCCATTGTCTTGCGGTGACAGAGAGCGGAAAGAGACAGTTTCATTCAAGGGAGACGGTTAATTTGGGCTCACGTGGTAGCGGTTTCACTGTGCAGAGCAGAGAGTGGAGAGAAGAGCGGACACCTCCGGTAACCCGCCGCTCCCAGCTGAGCCGAGCCTCCTAAAGCCCCACAAGCCAGGAGCTCAGCCTCAAACAGCAGCCAGTGCCTGCCAGAGACATCTCATCAAACCTTAGCATCCAGCACGTCAGGCTGTTAGGACCTCTTTGTCTGACCTCAGTTCGTGATACATCTAGGAGTGGGGTAGTTTGAGGTTCTGCAGGAGTGTCGGACGTGTTGGGGTTGACTGTCGTGTGCCGTGAGCACAGCAGAAGCAGTGCTCCCTCGTTTACACTCGATGCCCAGAGAGACTCCTTTCCCCGCTACAGTGCGTCTGCCTTGTACAGATGCACATGACCGTCGGTGTGGTTTGTTTCTAGACTCGTTTGCTCTCTGTTCATACACGGTCCTGACTGATGTCACTAAAGCAGAGAGTGCACATCCTCAGACTGACCCTCTTTGTAATGTCTTTATCTTTATGGGCATGGCTATTTTCCTATATCCACACATGCTTCATGCCCATAGAGGCTAGAAGAGGGTGTTGAATCTCCTGGAGCTGGAATTACAGATGGTTGTGAACCATCATGTGGGTTCAAACTCAGGTCCTGTGGTAGAGCACCCAGTGCCCTTAGCCACCGAGCCATCTCTCCAGCCCCCTCTGCCTATAGTTTTGAAGGGTAGGTAGCTGGTGATGGGATCCTCAGCTGCTAATTGTCCATGCTGCACAGCCAGCGTCTTCCCATTGCCTTGTGTCCTGCATTGTCCACACGACGACGAAGTCAGTCCTTAATTCTGCTTTCTTTCCACATGCACCAAGCTGGCTGCCCTTGACACTGGGTTTTGTTTCTTCTCAGCAGTCTGGCTCTGCTGCCTCGAAGTGGGAAGCTCTTTGACTCACAGTCCTGTCTCCGCCATCTTGCCTTTCTGTTGATTGCTGGTGGGCGTTTCTGTCTAGTTCCTGCACTGTTGTCAACTCCAGGCGTTCCGTTCGGTCTTCCTGTAATTCGTCTCCTTACAGTCTCTGGTTGTGGATTACTGTCATGTTGCCCTTTAATTTTTCTAACAGTTCTTTGAATATACTTACAGAAACTGCTTTGATTTTTGTCAGCAAAATTCAACATCTAGCTTTACTTAGTAGCAATTTCTGCTGCCTTTTTTTCCTTCAATACAGATCCTATTTGCTTCTTGTTGGCCAAGCTCTAGTTAGTTGGTGTTTGTTTGTCTGTTTGATTGATTTTTGTTTTTAAATGAACATTGGCCCTTGCTGAGTCTGTTTCAGCAGCTCTGGGTCCTGCCGTTGCCTCCCGAAGGTTGCTGTTTCTATTTTGTTTGCATAAGGAACTGGCCTTATGGAATCTCCGACTCAGACCACTGTCTCCCTTGCGGCTCAGGTGTTTTCATGTTTATATGTAAGATGGCATCCTAAGGCTTGCTTCTCCACGTAGACTGGCAGGAAGCCTGGGGTTGATTGACAGAGCCCGTGCCAGTGTGGTTTCTTTCCTCTCGATGTAACTATAAATAGAAGGCATCAAAGCGTGGGTCACTTCACGCTTTCTCCAGCCTTTATGTCTCCTGGTCCTTTGTTTTGTTCTTGTTGTTTGGGGGTAGTATTTGTTTGTTTCTGGAAACAGGGTCTTAGTGGGTTGCCCTGCTTGCCCCAAACTTCTGGACTCGGATAATCCTGCTGCCTTAACCTACCATGCAGCTGGGACTACACTGTGCCTCGCTTCCTACCTAGACCCTGTTCTGTCTCCCTTGCATGTGAACAGTCTCGTGGTTTGGCAGGAGCATGTGACTTACACACCATCTGGTCCTCACTGTTTTGCACAGCTTCATCCTAGAATGTGTTTGGTCCTGCCATCTTTGCTAAGCATAGCCACTTGCTCTCCCTATTCACCTCTGCGGTTGACCGGGCGAGAATGAGCATATCCCCCTTGCTCCAAAGCCAGTGAGCCGCCTCCTATGGCGAGGACGCTGCAGCTGATCTCCATGGCCTGCTTTGCCAGGCATGTCCTCTGAGGAGTGGGGAGGTCCGCTGCAGCAGAGATGGGGCAGCCCTAGAATGCCACGAGTTCTCTCTGTTCTTGGTGGAAGTTGAGCAGCTGTTCCAGCAAAGACACTTGTCAGGTAGCTGCTTGTCTTCACTGATCTCCAGAGCAGCCTGTGGTTATATTGTCACCATTGAACAGCTTCACTTTGATTCTTGGGGATAGGGTTGCATGAGCTCCTCACCTGCTGGGTCGGTCGGTTGGAGGCTCCACCGGTAGGCTCTCAGGTGACAGACACTGAGTTTGTTTGTTTTCCAAGAGCATAAGTTCTCTGCTCATTTGGTGCAGGCTGTGCCATGCTCGCCAAACTCTCTACTTTAAAACAAGAACACTTGCTCACTAAGTGTCGCATTAGCATGGCCATTAGCTCTAGGGTAGGTACAGTCAAGGGATAATTGTCTGCCACTTAACAAGACAAAATAGAAGGGTTGGAGAGATGGCTCCGTGGTCAAGAGCACTCGCTGCTTTTGTGGAGGACCTGGGTTCAGTTCCCAGCATTTAGATGATGGCTCACAGCTGCCTATAAACTCTAGTTCCAAGGGGTCTGGCATCCTTGGGCACCAGGGCACATGTGGTACATAGACATATAAACAGGCAAATATTCACACACATAAAAATTAAAAGGGAGAGAGAGAACAAAGTTACAGTCCCCAGGGAGTGTACACATATACCCCCACTCCACCCCACCTTACCCCAATGTGTGTGTGTTTGAGGACTATTTAATTTTTAGGTAAGATTTTTCTGGGTAACCCCCTAGAAGCCTCCCACATGTTAGATTTCAGATGTGCCTTGTGGCTGCAGGGCTACTTTACTTAAGTACTAAGAACCAGTGTCTAGTACTTAATGCACTTGAATATTACATCACAGCTAGACATGTTTTATAACTATTCTAGTCTCCTTTATTTTATAAGAACTGCATATGCCGGGCGGTGGTGGTGCACGCCTTTAATCCCAGCACTCAGGAGGCAGAGCCAGGCAGATCTCTGTGAGTTCAAGACCAGCCTGGACTCCAGAGCAAGAGCCAGGAAAGGCGCAAAGCTACACGGAGAAACCCTGTCTTGAAACAAACAAACAAACAAACAGAACTGCACAGTGACTTCCACTTACCACTTCTTTATTGCCTCTAAAGCTTCATTCTTCAAAACTAAAGAGTCAGGGCTGGGGAGGTGGCTCAGTGGGTAAGAACAGTTTCTGTGCAGGCACATGAGCTCCACTCTCCAGCACTCACACAAAAAGCCAGGCATGGCCACACGTGTGCTATAAACCAGCACTGTTAGGGGTGAGGACAGGACAGTGGCTGAGGTGTGCGGGCTGTAAACCTAGCTCTAGGTTAGTGGAAAATCTTGTCTGAAAGGAATAAGATAGAGTGATGGGACAAGACACTCAGCATCGTCCTTTGCCTCAGTACACCCACACATGGACACATACACCCTTGCGCACACACACTCCATTCATTTATCACACATATACACTGTAGTCACACACACACATCCTTCTTGTGAATTTCTGAGCCTTTTACTTGAAATAGCTTTCTGCCAAGTATCCAGTTGTCACAGGAGCTATGGGATAATTCTCTTTAGAAGGAGTTGTGTATCACTCTGAGTGTGTCTCTTCTAGGTCGCTTTGAGGAGGAATTTATCAAGATGCGCATGGAGCGGCTCCAGGCCTGGATGACGAGGATGTGCCGGCACCCGGTGGTGTCGGAGAGTGAAGTTTTCCAACAGTTCCTGAACTTCCGGGATGAGAAGGCAGGTGTAGCCTAGCGCTGTGGTCACAGGGAAGGGGGTGCTGGCACATTCCCAGTGAATTTACATCTGAAAGCAGCCAAAACAGTGTTGGTCTTTGTCAGTCCTCCCCCCAAAACAAGAAGGGACGGAAAGCTAAATCCGTGCCTGGGAAGCATGTTATGTAGTGTGACTGTGTGCCAGTCAGCAGGCCCCGTCCACTGGAGAAGTCGCGCCCCCCCACCCCCCTCACCCCCCCACCCCCCCCACCACCACCCCCGTGGATGGCCTAGGTGTGAAGTTTTCCCAGAGTGCTCTTTAAAGGGGCTTGGGGCTCGGGGAGAGCACTTTGTGCACAAGCATGAAGACCTGGATTCAGATCCCCAACACCCGCATGTACACCCTGTGACTCCAGCAGTGTGAGGTGTGGAAACAGGATCAGTAGAACCGTCCTAATTCCAGGGTCAGCGAGACACTGTCTCAAAGGAAAAAGATGGAAGGTCGTAGAGCAGGACACCCAAGGCCCTCCTCTGGCCTCTCACATGCGTGCTGGCACATGTACACACACACACACACACACACACACACACACACACACACACACACGCAAGTGGGAAGAATATACCCAAAATATGGGCCTAAAGAGGGTCGACCGTCTGGGTCTTTGGGTTCCCAGTGCCTCAGCACCGTGTAGGAAAGTAGAATTACAGATTGATGGTTCATCCCAGAGCCAAGTCCTCTTCCGGTAGTAGAGGTCCTGAGTCCAGAATAAATGCAGGCCCCTGCCTGCTCCAGGCAGTTACTCTGCCAGTGGTTATCTGTTTCCTGTGAAAACCAAGAGGAAGCTGCCTTCCTGGAACCTCCATGTCAGCTTTGGGAGTAACCATCTTTTGAAAAGCTTGTACGTGTTCCTCACTGTATTGTTCAGTCTCCAAAGATGTTTTCTCTGTAATTTTACAGAGAACAAATGTTGGAGATTTCATAAAACACTGAAGAGTAAAAGCATGGGCTAGTTCAGAAGCAACAGCAAATGCTAAATATAGTATGACCCAGGGAAAAATGTTACCAAGTTATTTTTGTCTTTAATCAACTCACAGAATACCTTATCCCCCATTGGAACCTTCAGAGAGAGATGTCCTTGCTAAACTTCGTAGTGATTTTGCCTTGGAGAAGTGATGCCTTTACACAATGGGTTAAACATCCGGGCTCTGTCTGCATGCTAAGTACACTTGACAGAGAATAGCTGTCCGGGCCTTGTTTTCAGTGATTGCCTCTTTCTGAACTTGGTAGGCATGGTTGGTGTAGTGTCTGCACCAGGTGGGGACATCATACACTCAGGCACTTCAGCTGCCCTTGTGAGGCGTGTCTGTCAGTAGCCAGCCTTGCAGGCCGTTGTAGCCAACCCTGGTTTTTCTGGTGCGAAGGGCTGCAGTGTGTGAGTCCCTGGAGCAGCAGAGCTGTGAGACGATGCTCTGAGCACTTGTGAGTACTACTTCCTAGGTACTGAAACTGCACAGAGCCCTCCCAAGTTGTTGTCAGTGGTTGCCCCCAGGATTTCAGAGTCTCATCATATTGATTTGTCAGGGGTTTAGAAAGCACTGATAAAGGTCATACTGTACGCAAAAGAAGAAGAAATCTTAGACGTTGGTTGTTTTGTTTTCTATGAAGCTGCCTTCTAGGTTGTTGCTGTGGGCCTGGAAAGCATTATTACTGTTAGACCAGTTTCCTCACGAGCCAGAGACGCTGTAGAACTAGAGAGCAGTGTAATGCTCTGCCTACTAGTGGCTAACATAATGGTGAGCAGAGACAACCCCTGAGACTACCTAGAATTGCTCGAAATAAGTGGTTATCCCGAGCTGCATAAAGTTGTTGCACTTTTATCATCAAAGCATTAAGTGAGAAAAATCCCTATTAACTTCAAAATTATCAAGTATTTAGGAATAAATACAAGAAAATACATAAAAAAGAAACCTAGCTGTAAAACTATGAAAAATTGACAGAGGGAAAAAAGGACCTAATTAAGATGTCATGTGTGAAAAACCAAAGGGAAAGAGTAGCTGCGAATCCTAACAGTGGGCGGGGCTAGGGAAACCCAAAACAGACACACACACACACACACACACACACACACACACACACACACACACACAAAATAAATAAACCAGGCTTGGTGACAGGCTCCTGTAATCACAGAGCCGAGGAAACAGGGAAAAGTGGAGCGCACTGACCAGCCAGCCTCACCAATTTCAAAAATGAAGGTCCATGGATCTGATGCACTCTTACTCAGCAGGCACTGTACATGGCACACGTAGATGCATATAACATGAAAAAATTCATCTTTTTTGAAATAGTTACCACAGTTAATTTGTCAGCCTCCCAGAGGGTGTCTATAGTCTGTTTATGCTGGAAGCCATTACAGAAGGAATGTGGCTGAGTCTGTCTGGTGCTGAGGATGTGGGACGGACGTGTCTTCCTGAAAAGAAGAGGCAGGGATCCAGTCCCTCAGCTGCTTCTGCTCAGGGATTTGGAGGAACACTTCAGGCTTCTGGCCGCTGTAACGCTCTCATGTTCTTACAGGAATGGAAAACTGGAAAGAGGAAGGCTGAGAAAGACGAGCTGGTGGGAGTCATGATATTCTCCACAATGGAACCGGAGGCTCCTGACTTGGACTTGACAGAAATGTAAGAGCCTCTGCCTGACTTTCCTGCCACTCAGTCTGCACAGACTTCCCTAGGCTCACGGCCTTGGCCAGGGCTGCAGCAGCTGTAATACTCATCTTCAGAAGGGACTGTCTAGCCGATGGGGTTTGCAGTCACATGGCGTCCACGGAAGTCCCGTCACAGCAGGTGGAGCGCTGCTTCCCTGGGTCTGCTTCATTGTTGGCGTCATGTTAGTTATTTTCCGTAACGTCTGATGAGGCAAGGTGGCAGTAACCACCCACGTCTGTGGAGTGCCCAGCAAAGCTGCCATCGTTGTGTGCAGTACTTGGGATCAAACCCGTGGCCTCAAGCAGTCTGGGTTTTGTGTTTGTCTCTGACGTTGCTGACATGACTGACGCTGTCTGTGTTCCCAGAGAACAGAAGTGTGATGCTGTGGGGAAGTTCACCAAGGCCATGGATGACGGTGTGAAGGAGCTGCTCACGGTGGGCCAGGAGCACTGGAAACGCTGCACAGGCCGTAAGTGCTGCCCTCCCCACTCACGAGGACCTGTCCACACGAGGGCCCACTGAGCTGCACAGTGCCACTCTCAACCCCCTGCCCTGCCCTCACTTCTCCACGCCAGTTAAAACCAGAAAGTTGAGCATGACAGAGGTAGCTCTAGAAATGTCGTAAAACAAAACACCACACTAACTTGAGTTTCATGTTGGGTCTTTGAGTTTTGTAATCTCAGGAAAATTAATCTTTCTAGGGTTTAGAGAGTAATTAAGCAAATTTTAATTGAAAGGGCTTGACCCCTTCAAGTGATTTGCTTACAAGTATGTGACACCAGGCCCGGCTCATGACTTTCCTTTCAGTCTTTATGTGCCTGTTTTAGGATGTGGTGTATGAGTAAAGCCATGGTTTTTAGGAAATAGCCTACATATTTGGTAGAAAATATGATAGATATTAATACACACACACACACACACACACACACACACACACACACACACACACACAAATATAACAGACTAGGCCACTTCAGAGGGACCTGGTACATTAGCCATGGCTCTGCTCACCCTCGCTGGGATTAAGAATTTCTTTCTTCCTGTCCTTTGTGTGGACTGTCATGCTGATGAGCCTTTGTTCCTGTGTCCCCTGAGTTGTGTAGCTGTGGTGTCCCAGGATAGAGTAGTGAAGCATGCAGACACACCATCCTCTGTGAATGAAGGCCTAGGAAAGGCGTGTGGTGCAGAGCACGTCCCCTGCACGTGGGAGCCCGGGGGCGCAGTCCCTAGCGCTGACTCAGAGAAGAAAATACAGATCAAGACTAGAACTTGGAAAGTGCTGAGTTGTTGAAGTTGCACCTTGCAGAAGGCCGTCCTAGCAAACCGTTTAAATGGATGTGGTTTCTGATGGGATTAGATCCTGCTGTCTGACGGCTGGAAGTTCTGTGCTGTACATGACCCAAAAACCGCACTTATTAGCAAGGACTGACCCAAGACTGTTCAAACTTCTAATCTGTGCAGTGAAAACTGTACGTGGTAAATAGCACGAATGTCTTTAACCGCAGAAGCAGGCAGTCAGGGATCCAGAGTAACCGTGGCACTGACATTTCCCAGCCCCTGAGGTCAAGCAGTGGTTTCCTTCAGAAGGCCACAGATGCCCCCCGAGGGGGTCTGTGCAGATGCATGGGTGGCCTCAGGATTTCTGTAGATTCTCCAGGTGATCCTCGGGATGAGTTAGCGAGTCCTCACATCCGTAGGTGAGACTGCACACACCCTCCTCCTGAGCCTTCGTGGCCACACTTAGCCGCATTTGCCCCTTCCGTATGGAGATGGTAACTCTGGTATCCAAGGTCACTGATGGCCACATGCACATGAGAGGGCTTTGGGCTCTTTCCCTGTGCTCTGTCCAGGGAATGAGTGTGGGGATGAGTTGTTCATTATAGTACCCACTGCTAATTGAGCAACCAGCCAAAAATGATAGTTAATTAAAGAAATCGTCAGTTGAAAAATCATTTCATCAATATTTCATTAATAGGCGTTATTTCAGTCATTTTGAATGTCTTTGAATGAGTCACAGTCAACTGTGGGATCCATTTCAGACTGCTCTGAGGACTGATGAGTTTAACGATTCTTTTCTAGCCTTACCCAAGGAGTATCAGAAGATCGGGAAGGCTTTGCAGAGTTTAGCAACAGTGTTTAGCTCCAGCGGTTACCAAGGTACATCTGTATTTGTTTATAATTTCCCTTGTTGATAAGTGTGTAATAACTGTCCGCATCTTGAATTACTTCAGTACCTTTATGCATCGTGTGGTGAACATCAGGGTAAGGGGTATTTCTCAACTTAGGATTTCTTTAACTCTAAAGCCCTGACACTCTTCTCTTGTGGTCCCATAAGGTGTACAATAGGTTCTGGTGAACTGGTCACCGTGAGTGTTTCAGAGCACTGGAGCCCACATCTCCTGGGCACAGGAAAGAGAAGCCTCAGCGGGGCGGGGCCGCTCACCCGAAAGCACAGAGAGCTCCCTGTTTTCTGTACTGTTGTCGCTGTCAGAGTGCGACAGGGTATTTATATCGGTGTGGCACTCTGGCAGGTGTTGAAAGTGCTTGGTATATTTTATGTTGACTATCCTTCACTTTACTAAAGCCTCTGTTTTTAAGGAGCCATTTGAGCTCCTTCAGATTGGCATCTGCTTCAGGAAAGTGTGGGGCAGTGTTACTGAGCACTCTCAGAGCAGTGTTGTGCCGTTGGTTCTTGGTCGTGTAGATGAGCGTGATTCCCAAGGCTGTCTTAATTACATCAGATAAATCTTTCACTGCATCCACGGCAGAGTGGGTCGTAACAGTAGAACAATGTAAGAATTGCTGGCGTGGCCCCTGCCATGGAATACTCTAGTCTTGGGGACTCCCCTGTGGAAATGTTTTTGTGAGGAAATCGTGAGAAGACCTACAGACAGCTCCTGCATCCAGGAGCAAAGCCTGTCTCTTCGCACTCTGCCTCCAAACAACTCCGGTGCCCCCCATGCTCATTTGAGGGCCTTCCCCGGGCAAAGGGAGGAAACTGGAACGCTAGTGGAACAGTAATTCCATGGAATGACGCACAGCACACGTTTGCACACCCAGAGTGACTCATTTACTTGTAATTTAATCCCAGTTACCTTGGGGGACAGTGGGCTCTGTCTATGGTTCTGAAACTGTAAGGAAGGACCTGAGCAATTCAGAGTACACCCAATAGGAAGCCAAGGTTCGACAAGGAAGGCTTCTCCCCACCAAAGCTGATTACCAAAGAATAAACACGGGTGAAAGGGAACCGCGCAGGTTTGCCAGCGACGATCACGTTTGCTTCTGGAGTATGAAAACTAGAATTAACCAGACACTGATTCCGGATCTGGTTAAGCCTCTGGACCTCGTGGCCAGTGTAAGGACAAGGTAGGGACAGAAGAATGTGTGTTGACACAGAGATTCAGTCTAGCATGTACCAAAGGGCATGACTCATGTTCCTTAACACCCCACAAAAAGTTTTCAAAAAAGAAAGGGCTGAGCGGAGCACTGAGTTAAGACATACACCTTCCTGTCCTGGGTGTGCGTTGTCTGTGCCCCCTGGCTCACACAGCCTGCCTAAGGTGCCTGCACACTGGCTCCTCCTCTGTAGCAGAGCGATGACCTTTTCCTAGGTTTGCAATCTCATGTCCTTATTCTTTAAATGTTCCTTATCTTCTAAGTGAAGTTTGCAGGTAAAAATGTTGTATGTCCCGCGAAGAGAGAAGCGGAATAGAGGGTGTAAATGGGAAAGGTTAATCACTGCCTTAGTTAGGGTTTCTACTGCTCTGATAAAACGCCATGACCAAAGCAACAGGGGAGGAAAGGGTTTGTTTCAGCTTACAGATTATCACTGTAGTCCATTATCCAGGGAAGTCAGGGCAGGAAGTCAAGGCAGGAACTGTTGCAGAGCCCATGGAGGAACTCGGGCTACTGGCTTCCCCTCATAGCTTGCCCGCCTCCTGTCTTATAGAACCCAGGACCACCAGCATAGGGGTGGCACCACCCACCATGGGCTGGGCTCTCCCACACTAGTTATTATTAAGAAAAATGCACCATAGGCCCATCTAGTAGGGACAGGTCATCCATTAAGGTTTCTTCTTCCACTAACTCTGTATCTTACATCAAGCAGACATTAAAAACTAGCCAGCACAGCCACCGCCTGCTGCCTGGGAACCAAGGATGAGGATGGGGATCTAGGAAGTTGTTCTCGCCAATCTGACAGTGTTTGAACTTTCTAAACTAAAGGCCATCAATAAAGTGTGTGTCAAACCTGTGAGTACAGAGAAAACATTAGTGACCCTAGTGGTTCACAAGACTGCGACCCATTTCAGGTGAAACAGATCTGAACGACGCGATAACAGAAGCCGGGAAGACATACGAGGAGATCGCCAGCCTGGTGGCCGAGCAGGTACTGCCATAATCACACTTCCCAACCCACATTTCGTACTTAGATACAGGTAGATACTCTCTTTTCTGCTTCTGTGGGGCTTTGTTAATTTCATTTAGTGATTATATCTTTTTCAGTTAAGCCAAAGTGGACAGATGTCTCATTAAGAAATCCAAGTGAAGCCAGGTGTGGTAGCTCATACCCAAAATACCAGAACTTGGGAGGCTGGAATAAGGGATAACCTTGAGTTCAGGGCTAGCCTAGGCTGAATAGTGAATTATAGAGTAAGATCCTTTCTCAAAAAGTCAAAAGAAAAAAATGTAAATGAGGCTTGAGTCTGTGGCTTAGTGGTAAATGGCCTAGATTGTTCTTCAATACTTATGAGGCCTAGAATTTGATCCAACACCCCCCAAATAAAGATGTTGGGGGGTGTCAGTCAAATGCCTTCTGGCATGGATGCCTCTGTTCCACTCTCACCATCCTGGAGTATAATGTGAGAACCTGGCTTAGACCTTGCCCTGGCCCTGAGCTTGCTCTCCTCATCTGTGGACTGCACGCCTTCGGTGAGCCTCGGGATTGGGCATATTTTATATTATCTACTAAAATGTAGGCATTAAACTATAACATTTTCACTTGTTTCAATTTGATGCTTATATTTTATTTGATTAAAAATGTGAAATAGTATCTAAAAATATACTATCAACTAAAAAAAAAATCCCTGATAGTGTAATGTAAACCTCTATTTTTACAACTCAACTTCAAAATGATGTATCACTTTCTTCACAACGGAAGAGTCAGAGTCTAGCACTGTCACAGGATTGTGTTCTGTTAGGAAAACTAATCCTCAGTGTTTAACACTGAGTGTTCTAGTGTAAGGCATTCTGACCAACAGCACCTTGGGAACGGGAGGGTTTATTTGGCTCATGCTTCCAGGTCATGGTCAGTCAGGACAGGAGCCTAAGCAGAAACCATAGAGGCTCCTCCTGGCTCACTCTGAGGCTCAGGCTTTCTTAGACAGCCAACAACCACCTGCCAGGGGGTGGTGCTGCCCATCGTGGACTGGGCCCCCGTCTGTGAATCGGCAATCAGACTGTCGCAGGATATTTGATCGCACTGTGGCACTTCAAGACTGTTAATGAAGTTAACCTAGAATTAAGGGGCAGAGCTAGCAACTAGCTGACCAGAATTAGTCGTAGAGAAGCCAGGAATGTGGAAAGAGAAGACAAGAGGGAAGGAAAGGGCGGGACTAGAATCTGGCGCTTCTTTTGGTTTGGGGGACGAGTGAAGAGATGTGTCTCTCACTGTGTCTCTGGCCAAAAAGCAAGGTCAGTCAACTGGTTCCTGCTCCACTTCTTTAATCCAGCAGGTTTTCACCCCAGCATCTGACTTCCAAGTCTTTGTTGGTAAAAAGACAGCAGACGTAGTTTAAACCTACATATCTCTGCTGTGGCCGCGGGACCGGAAGGCCCTACAGGCAGTGGGGTGCTGATGGAGTGCAGTGGGGCCACAGACAACAATTGAAGTACCAGTAGAGTCTACGGCCATACCTGAACACGCCCGATCTCGTCTGATCTCGGAAGCTAAGCAGGGTCGGGCCTGGTTAGTACTTGGATAGGAGACCGCCTGGGAATACCAGGTGCTGTAGGCTTAGAAAAAAAAAAAGAGAAATAGCAGTAGATTCATGTGCAGCCGGCACCTCAGACATTCCACATGCCAGTCTGATCCAGGCGATTCTTAAATGGAGGCTCCCTCTTGACCAGTGACTCTGGGTGGTGTCAGCTGACAACCAAAGCTCAGTGACACAGTGACGCAGTGATGCAGTGATGCAGTGGCGCAGTGACACAGTGACACAGTGGTGCACCCTGTGGTCCCAGCACTCGGGAGCCAGAGGCAGGCAGATGGACCTCTGTGAGTTCGAGGCCAGCCTGGTCTACTTAGTGAGAGCCAGGACAGCCAGACCCAGTGAGACTATCTAAGTCAGTGGTTCTCAACCTGTGGGTCACCGTCCCTATGGGGGACAGATATCCTGCATATCAGATATGTGTAATTCATAACAGTAGAAAATGACAGTTATGAAGTAGCAGCAATACAGTTTTATGACTGGGGGTTACCACAGCATTCAGAACTGTATTAAAGGGTTGCAGTGTTAGGAGGGGTGAGAATCACTGGTCTAAATAAAGAAGCAGCACTCTGAGCTGCTCAGTGGCAGTACACACTTCATCAGTTTCTTCTCCTTGATTTTTTAAATTCCTGTGTCTCGTTACAGCCAAAGAAGGACCTCCACTTCCTGATGGAGTGCAACCATGAATACAAAGGCTTTCTTGGCTGCTTCCCGGACATCATTGGTGCTCACAAGGTAAGGACCAGTGTTAGGAGGAGCCGCCAGACATAAGCACTGTCACAAGGTAAGGGACAGTGTTAGGAGGAGCCACCAGACATACAGCACTATCACAGTTGTTTAGATGTTACTTTTATCCATGAGAAAAGAAACTAGCTGGATGTGGTGGTGCATGCCTGTAATCCCAAGAGGCAGAGGCAGGCAAATCTCTGTGAGTTCAAGGCCAGCCTGGTCTATAGAGTAAGTTCCATGTCCGACAGGGCTACATAGTGAGACCCCATGTCAAAAAGAAGCAGTGGTAAAATGTAATTCCCACCATAAAGTTTTAAACTACAGTTAAAAATTGGTTTGATATATCTTCATGTTTTAATTCTGGTTCCTGTTTCCTCTTGGAGTCTCTGGTACTCTTAGTGTTTTGAGCATCCTTGGGTTTGTTCAGAATATCTCTGCAAAGGGCTGGTCTGTGATCTTAGCCCCACTGTGTGAAGACTCACGAAAGAACAAAATATAAACAATCTTTGTCTAGTTCATACAACTCAGCACGAAACTCAGGAGGGTCGCTCCTGTCAGAATTTATGCCAGCTGAGTGGATTTTAGGCACAAAGCCTAGTTTACACGCAGAGGTAGAGGTTTGCCTTTGCAGACAGTCATAAATAATGAACAGTGTGGTGGTGCTGGAGTGAGGCTCCTTCCATCTGAGAATGAATTGAAGCTGATTCAGCACCTCTTACAAAAGACAAAGCCTGAGCCGGGCGGTGGTGGTGCACATCTTTAATCTCAGCACTCAGGAGGCAGAGGCAGGCAGATCTCTGTGAGTTCGAGGCCAGCCTGGTCTACAGAGTGAGTTCCAGGACAGGCTCCAAAGCTACACAGAGAAACCCTGTCTCAAAAAACCAAAAAAAAAAAAACCCAAAAGACAAAGCCCTACAGTGTGTGCACTCAAGCACCCGCTCATACAACGCTGTTCCATAACCGGAGAGAAAGGACATGTGCCATATACCAGCTCCACGTACCTCCACGTGGCTTCCCACCCATGGTGCCTGTTCTCCTCTGTGGACTCTTGAAACACCAGTGGCGTAGAATCTTGCAGGACAGAGTTCTGTTTGTTTCTTTTCTCATGGTGCACAAAGCTGCAGGTTGTAGCTCTTGGTTTTTCAGGACTAGCAGCCTTTGGCTCCCGACGGAGTTGGAAGGACGTTGACTCAGCTGCTCCTCTGTCCTCAGGGTTGCAGCACTTTCCCGTTCAGTACCAAGTCTGTAGAATGTCAGCACTGTTGAATCTTAAACTCGTACTTTGTGCTCTGTCTTCTCAAGTACTGTTGCGTTTCTGTGTTTCCAGGGAGCAATAGAAAAAGTGAAAGAAAGTGATAAGCTGGTTGCAACCAGTAAAATCACCCCTCAAGACAAGCAGACGATGGTGAAGCGTGTCGGCACCATGTCTTACGCTTTACAAGGTAAGAGAAGGGGTCGTGAGTAACCAGTGGAGATCCACTGTCACCCCCAGCATTAGACCTGGCCGCTGGGCAGGACCCCAAGGGTGAGCTCCAGTGAAATCCACAGCCAACTTAAAATGTCTGTCTTGCCTACAGGTAGCATTTATTTTACAGATGGACTTGGGATAGCTGTGAGTGACAGCTTGATTAAAATTGTACATCTTATTACTTCTTGGAGACAGCAAGACTCCTTTAATAGCCTTTAATATCATGCTGTTCTGTTACATCCCAAAGTTCAGCTTCCAGAAGTCTGTAACTCTGTGCCCCAGGACTGTGGGATCTAAGAGGCCTGGGGGAATCATTTTAGGCATAATTTACGGTTAGTAAAAAGAAAGCATTAGCTGATTTCTAGAGATTTGAGTATGTGAGAGCAGACGAGCAGCAAGTGGCCGTCTCTGTGTTTGGTGAAAGGGTGAGACGTGTGCCTTGGCAGACTGGAGACTGTCAGTAGTGCTCAGCCTGCTGGCCACTGACAGCCATCCATTACTAGAAAGAGGCACTTCTGCTGGTGTCTGCCTGTTTCTGGGCTCGTGATAGAGTTGCGTTGAGAACCTGTGCTGCATAGAAGTCAGCCAGATCCGGTCCTGTAGACTTAGCCGAGCCGAGAAATTGTATGTTGTCCTTTGAAATCTTGCCAGGAACTAATCTCTGGGACAATTCTGTTGTAGCTGAGATGAACCACTTCCACAGTAACCGGATCTACGATTACAACAGTGTCATCCGTCTCTATCTGGAGCAGCAAGTGCAGTTCTATGAAACAGTAAGTGCTGCCTGCCCGTGCCTGTGCACATGTGTGAGGAGAGGGCTTCACACTTAGTAACCTTGACCAGATAGAGGTGATCGTTTGGGATCTTTACTCCTGAGTAAGAAGGGGGTCACATTTTGAACAGTTTGGTGGTATGGTTTTTTTGATCTTTATAAATTCCATCTACTTCATCCCTGTTGAGGAATGCTGGGGAGATGACTTAGTGGTTAAGAGCACTTGTTGCTTTTGCAGAAAACCTGGGTTCAGTTCCCAGCACCCACATTGTGGTTCATAAGCATCTATAACTCCAGTTCCAGGGATCTGATGCCCTCTTCTAACCTCTGCGGCGCCAACCACACACATGCCACATATACATACATATAGGCAAAAGAGTCACATATGAAGGAAAATCAGTAAATCTAATGTAGGGGAAATTTCAAGTTTTCCTTTGAGGAGCAGGCATTGGACACTAGTGTTGAAGCCTTGAGCGGTCCTGATTGTGTGCTTCCTTTTGAGCCTTTCCATGAACAGGGACATCAAAATGACATGAGGTCACCCTGCCACCCAGAAGGTCCATCCCCTTCAGTTAGGGAAGGAAACCAAAGACAGCCTTTGTTTGTGACCCAGGTTTCACAGTTACCAAAGTCGTCTCTTCAGGAAAACCAAAATAACACAGTTTTGTAAACATTTTCATTCAGAAAACTGTAATGAAAACGTAAATCTTGCCTTCCCCTGCCTTGTGGTGTTTTCATTCAGTACAGCGTTTGCACACATCTTGTCAGTGGAGATGGAGCTCAGACACCTGCAGAGCTGCGCTGTAGCTGTGGAGTGAACTGGAGGTGGCCTTGTCTCTCTCATCCATGCTGTTGACTCTTTTGCGTTCAGAGATGCTACAGGCTAGCCCTCAGCTCACATCCCTGCATATGTCACTTTGGGGTTGCACTCTGCCAAAAACACCTTGTGAATTCGTGAAAAAGCTGTGCTTAATGTACTCCGTTTGTAATTGTGAATTCTGGTAGGCAGCACTTGGTTTTGGGGGCACACTCATGGGATGAACCCATTCAAGAGTGCTCTCCCTCATGATGGCGGTCTGTGTCCTTTAACTGTACACTCTGATGTCAGTTGCTGCTGTTGGGCGTTGCCTCTCCATGTGTCTTAGAATGTAGTAGGTTATATTTGTCTCTGAGAAAATACTGCAAAGGTAGCGCTTAAGGTTCTCATACTGTCGGTTTGTTAATTATCAAATGTACATGTATAGTTTTTTAAAGATTCATTTATGATGTATACAGTATTTTGCCTGCAAGCCAGAAGAGGGCACCAGATCTCATTATAGATGGTTGTGAGCCACATGTGGTTGCTGGGAATTGAATCTAGGACCTCTGGAAAAGCAACCAGTGCTCTTAACCTCTAAGCCATCTTTCCAACCCCTACATGTATAATTATTGACCATGTAATTCAAATTAGAAAACCATATATTTTGTCACTTTATATTAATATCCCTTAAAGTATTAAAACTTACATTTTTGTTCATGGAGTAAACATGCATGAGTACCTGTTGTATACCTAGCACCTACTGCACATGTTTAAGGTCCCAAGATAAATAAGGAATCTGAGCCTTCAGGGGGCACCTAGTGTCCTTACGGGAGATACAGGCACATAATAGATACGCAATGCACCCTGGGCTCTCACAGAGATACAGACTCTCCACATACCATGTAGCAACAGAATGGTAAGTCTTGAGTGTTCATACTTGTCCAGAAAAGAAGGGGACTCTGGGCAGGCATGGTGGCCCAAGCCATCATCGTGCTCTTTGAAGGAGAAGGAGCAGGGCCTGGCCGTGGACCTGGATGGGCAGGTGGAGACAGGAAGCAGGGTTTCCCACACACTGTGGAAACCACTGTGAGCGGCAGGGCTGTGGTGGCAAAGGTCGTCCCAATGTCTGCAGAAGAGACAAACAAACCAGCTGTGTATTTGACAAGTTTATAATGTTTAACTCAGATGAGGGCGGATAGAACACTGTGAAGTTGTAATCAGTGTGGTAATTTCTCAACTGCTCTGTTTTCTCACCAGATCGCAGAAAAGCTGAGGCAGGCCCTTGGCCGCTTCCCGGTTATGTAGACCAGGACTGAACAAAACTGAACTCCGAAGTGCTTCTTTCTGACCTGGGGCAATGCAATTCAATTTATTTCCCTATTATAAGAGACAGAGACAAAGAAAGGAAGAAAACCAAAAAGAAATAAGTTGACAAAAACCTGTTTCTGTCATTAGCCAGCCCAAGTGAATAGTTCCTTAGGGACGGCCTTCTTTGGTTCATTTTGACACATGTTAGTTACCCAGTGGGAAATGTCTATTTTTGGAAAATACTTAAATTTATCAAGATTTTGAATGGAGAAATAGGGGTTCCTCCTCCTGGTATTTTACATAGAATCGTAATTTATACATTACCCATGATCTTCCAGTTCTTACCCAATGTCAAATAATTAATACTAATTGCTTTCTTAAAAATATGAAATATGCCAGAATAAAAATATATCTTTGTATATTTTTATAACTCTTTCAGTCCTTTGGGGTCCCTGTCTGTAGGGAAGTCTGCAGTCCCCCACTGGCACAGCTGCAGTTCAAGTGCTCACAGTGGGGGGAAGTAGAGAGGGCCCCCAGACTGCCCACACCCTCAAGGTGCGTGGTGGGTAGAGCGGGTGAGTAGAGCCGCCTCCCCCTGCTGCCCACCGGGTCACTCTTCCTGTGCTGGGCCTATGTGAAGTCCCACACTGTCTGCACTCCTTCCCAGTTCAAGGTCAGGCACGTGTTATGCCAGCAGAGTAAGTGAGAAAAGGTGAGGGCTTTGTCCCCCTGCCCCAGGTGGGTAGCCACACTGACTCCTATGCCCAGGAGCTGCTGGGAAGGGAGCAGTCAGCCTCCTCCGCCAGAGTGTCCACCCCTCCGCTCGCTCTCCGTCCCTCGGCTCTCCACCGGATGAGAGAGAGGTGCAGCTGCTGGCCTCCTGGTTTGGAGCAGCAGGCTGGTCAGGATTCTCTGAAAAGATGAACCCGGAGTTCAGCACCTCTTCCCGTCCTGGAGAATGGGAAAGTTAACTGAAGTGGGCGGCAGCTTGAAGGCTGTGCGGTAAAGCGGATGGGGAGCGCTGCCTGACCGTCTGGGCCGTGTCCCACCTTCAGAGGCTCCTGGTCCTGGCTCGGGCTGACAGCACAGAGCACACACTGCCGCCCTCCTGCAGACGTGTCCCCTTCCACAGTTGCCTTACGACTTGATCCACTGCTCTCACTTTTCTGATCTGATGATTCTGTTATAGAGAATGGGAAGTCTGGGCCAGAGTCAATGAATGAAACCAAAAATAAGTAGCTGAGAAAATCCAATGAACACGAATATGAGAACTTCTTGTTCCTTGATATCACGGGTTTTTGTTAATGTTTTATAAGTAATTTTCCCCTACTTGATTTTTCTTTTATAAAATTCCATAGAACAGTGTTTATGATACAACCATTTAATATATGTACAAATTGTAAAGAATATGTATAAATATTTTACATAAATGTAAGAGCATGTAGAAGCCAATATATAAATAAATTGTTTAAAAAATTGTACAGCGAATTCCCACAGCACGTTTTCAGAATACTTTTTGGCATTTTTGTGTGGTCGAGGTTTTGTTGTTGGAAACTGCTTTTTATTCCAGCTGCTGAAAGTTGTCTAGGTGATGAATTTTCTCCAAAACATCTCTCTCCTGACATTAGTAGCTTTGGTCCTTAGCCCCATTGCCAATCCTGCAAGTATGCCACGAGCTCTGATGCCCTGTGCCCTCCTCCCAGATGTCCGAAGGAGAAAAGAGCCAGGCAGATGGGAAAGGCATCTATGAAGAGTTGATGCCAAGGGGCAGGAAGAAATGGTAGCGGTCTTTGAGCTGGGGAAAGAAAAGAGTGTGAAAATCAGACCCGTTCCAGTGGAGGCTGGCACCTGGAATAGTTTCGTTCAGAGGGAAGCTTTCAGTGCTTCAGGGTGTGTGTCCTGTTCTGAGGGGTTCTTTTGTGTTGATGTCTGACTTTTAACTACTTGCACCAACTTTCCGATATCCCAGAAGAGCTACAGTAACACAGTGACTTAAAATCTTGACGGGCTCGCACGATGGCTCAGTGTCAAGAGCACTTGCGGCTCTTACAGACCCAGGTTTGGTTCTCAGCACCCACAGAGTGGCTTACAACTATCTGTAACTCCAGTTCTGGGCATCTAATCCCCTCCTCTGGCCTGTGAGGGCCCTGCATATGTGTGCGGTGTACATATATGTAGGCAAACACACGTACACATAAAATCTTTTTTTTTTTTTTTTTTTTTTTTTTTTTGGTTTTTCGAGACAGGGTTTCTCTGTGTAGCTTTGCGCCTTTCCTGGAACTCACTCGGTAGCCCAGGCTGGCCTCGAACTCACAGAGATCCGCCTGGCTCTGCCTCCCGAGTGCTGGGATTAAAGGCGTGCGCCACCACCGCCCGGCTAAAATCTTTTTTTTAAAGTACTGATGCTGACTATGTCTACATCGTTTACTTTTTGGAAATACGATGACTAAATTGTGGCCAAATACTGAAAATGCAATGTTTAGATTTACTTTTTGTCTATGAGTGCTTGCCAGCATGTATGTGTTTGTGCCTGGTGCCCAGGAAGGCAGAGGAGAGGGTTCAGATCCCCTGGAATTGGAGTTACAGGTGATTGCTAGCCACCACGTGGGTGCTGGGAACTGAACCTGGGCCTTCTGAACAAGCAATAAGAGCTCTTACCTGACGAGCCATCTCTCCAGTCCCCACATGCTGAAAACATTTTGTGACCTGCAACATACTCTCAAGTCGCTTATGATATCAGAAATAAGATTTGTGCCACGCTGGGCAGTAGTGGCGCACGCCTTTAATCCCAGCACTCGGGAGGCAGAGCCAGGTGGATCTCTGTGAGTTTGAGGCCAACCTGGGCTACAGAGTGAGTTCCAGGAAAGGCGCAAAGCTACACAGAGAAACCCTATCTCAAAAAAACAACAAAAAAAAAGGTTTGTGCCAGAACTTGACAATGGAAACTGACTTTAATAGGTCATTTAGCTTCATATTTAAAGGAGTTAAACATGGATCTTCAAGGTGAAATCCAGTTTACCATTCAGTGTTTGAAATTATAGCAGCATTCCAAATCAAACAAATTATATCAAGCCCAATTAAGGTAAATGATTTTATGCAACTTGATATGTTGGCTAACCACAGTCCTGTGAAAAAATCAAGAAATATATAGTCTTGTTTTGCAATTTGATGCAAGAATTTGAAAATATTTCCAAATTTCTGAGAAAATAGTATTTGGGGTATATTTGCTACTCCATTTTCAGTCAACATAAGTGATTCCTACCATTTTTCCAATGGAAAGCATAGAGCTGTGATCTGACAGTCAAACTTTAAAAATGATTATATCTCTTTACTAGACTTTTCTAGGTCCTATATCTCTTGAAGACACACCTTATGCTGGGCGGTGGTGGTATACACCTTTAGTCCCAGCACTTAGGCAGAGGTAGGCAAATCACTGAGTTCGAGGCCAGCCAGGGCTACACAGAGAGAGACCCTATCTCAAAAAACAAACAAAGAAACCATACCTTATTCATGGCATCACTTTTGGGCAGTGCCTAAATTTGTGAGCTCTTTTCTAGAACTAGGCATAAGTTAGAAGCAGGCCATCAGATGAACACCTTCTCACAGATAATGGAAGCCACAGCCATCAAACATTGATGCACCAGTTTCTCAAATATGATGCCAAATAGCCCATTGGTTTTTGTTGCCCTCTTTGACGTTTATAATTAAACATCAAAGCATCAGTGAAGTTTTACTACTCGGGGATGTTCATTTTCTTTGGTAGTGATTACAGACTGGTTTACAGGATTGTTTGTTCTGTGTAGCCTGTCCAGGTACTCACTCTGTAGACCAGGCTGACCTTGAACTCAGAGATCCGCCTGCCTCCCATCACCTCCCGGCCAGAGGAGTATTTTTTAATAGCAGTTTCTTTTAACTTCAAAATGGGTATTTTTATGCTGTGCCCATATCCTGGAGACCAAAAAGGGGTATGGACAAAAGGACATAGTTGTAGGTAAATTATTCAGGGGCTTGCTGCATACATTTCTCCCCTGGGGAACGGATTTGTTTTGAATTTTTAAAGACAGTGTTGATTTCCATGTCCAACCAGACTTGGATCACCAGCCGTTCCTTGTTCTTTTTCTTGGAGTGGTTTCCGTTCTCTGGTCTTCTGACAGCACAAGAGCTGAAGGGAAGCAGTGAACGCGTGACGGATGGATGGGTCAGTATCCTCAGCCCACAAAGGTGGTCCTCATCAGCCAGCGCAGCAAGACTGAGGACTTTAGCATGTGCCAAGGCACCCAAGAGACCAGCACAGGCGCAGCAGAGTGGGAAGGGAGAGGGTCCTTTTGCAGGCAGCTCACCCACCCCCTGTGGCGCGGCTGGCGTGCAGCTTTGAGTGTGCATGAGGGTCCGGGGAAGAAGAAGGGCCCACAGGGAGAGAACAGTGGGTAGAAGTAGCTGCGGCGTTCATTTCTTCAAGGCATCTGGTCCTGGCTCTGAGACGCAGGCAGCTTCTATGCAGTTTCTCCCGGTAGCAGCCAGAGCAGGAGAGCAACAGACCTGTCAAGAGGTGGGCGGGGCGCATCTGTTGTGGGCGAGGCTTGGGACGATGAGGGGCGGGGCCACATTTTTAGGAGCTAGGGGGATAAGCTACAGGCTGAGTGACAAGTCTGGGGGGCGGGGCTACAGATCTGATAGACAAGCTACCGGTCCACGGAAACTATAGGCCAATGCGGCTGCCCCCGAGCCTGAGGGGCGGGGCCCGGGGGCGGGGCCCAGGGGCGGAGCGTGGACTCCGGCCGGGCGCGCTCGCCATTGCCCCCGCGTGAGTCACTGCGGGTGTAAGCGGGCTGCTCCCGTCAGTATTCAAGGCACAGACGCTTAAAACATAAATATACCTACAAACCTTGACCTAGGGGAATTTTCTAGAACAGAGCTCTGATCGTTGAGAATGAAACCTAAGAAAACACGTCTCTAGGGAGTGTTTGAGGAAGCCACTCTCTAAAGGCCGGGTCCTGTTTCTGGAGCCCAGCTGGAAGGAACGGCGTGACCTTCCTTCCTAAGTGTCCCATCAGCCAGCGAGGACACCCCCAGAAGCCCGAGTCCGGCAGCGCCACGGTAGAAACTAGCTCCCTCAGAAGAGGGGCGAAGCCGAGGAGGCCAGAAGGCAGGCTGGATTGTGCCAGCCTAGCTGGCCTCAATACGATCTGCAGGCAAACTGGCGAGACTCCGGACCTGTCCACCTCACCTGCCAGTCACAGGAGGAAATGAAACTATTTTTAACATGCACATCTTGCACTCTTTTAAATGTTTTTAAATGTTCTGTGTATGGGTGGTTTGCCTGTGCAGCACTTGTGTGCCTGGTGCCCGTGGAGACCAGAAGAGGGCATGTTACAGTATGCACTGCCCTGTAGGTACTGGAAAAAAAAAAAAAAAAAAAAAAACTCATCCTGGGGAGGAGCAGCCAGAACTTCTGACCGCTGAGCCATCCATCTCTCCAGCCTCTTAAGAATTATTACTATTACACTATTCTTATGACCTGTTTAGGGAAAGGCTTTATAACTAAGTTTAGCTTTATGCTAAAAGATGAGTAGTGTACTGACCTTTGCGTGGTCTCCAGGCACTTGACCTGACTAGGGGTGGTGAGGGAACAAAGAACAGACAAACAGACAAAAATAGTTGGGTTCTGGTGGACTGGGCTCTCTGATGCAGAAGCTGCAGTACCCCCAAAACTCATCATGTTTATTATATGGAGGTTAACAGGAAGATGGGGTTATTGTATACAGCTGAGCAAGGAGGCGGGCTTTATGGTACACATCTGGAGCAAGGAGACCACGCTTCACACCTGTACCCATGCCTTCAATCAACTAATCCCTGTAGGAGCAGCCTCAGTATGGGAGCAGTCCTCAATCCATAGATATAGGAGTACGGTGTTACTGTGGACATTTTCTGCACACGCTAGATTCAATATTCACACTTGGACGGGGGTAAAGCGTTGCCATTTTCCCATGGGAAAGAGCCTGTTGGGTTCTTGACATGGGTATGCTCATGTCAACAACACACATTCATTCACTCAGAAGTTCAGTCAGAGCTTCCTCTGCCCCTCACAATGCTGACTGGGCCCCGTGTGGCAGTCTGGTTATTTAACCCAAACCTACTCATCTGTGCCCTCTACTTTTGTCCACCTCAGCTAAAGGAAACAAAGAGGTCAGTTCACCAAGACCATGTAACCATAGTTGTGGCCAATGAAGCTTTAGCAGAAAATGTCTTTAAGAGATTTTGCCCTTTTCTTATTACAAACAGATGCATCCAGTTTTGATTCTTGGAGTCTTGCCTACCTGGAATAAACACGTGATGCCTCAAGCTGAAGCAGCTCTTTTGAAATCATGAAGCAAGAAGCCAACACGCTAAAATAAACTAGTTCAAATCCTTGATGACATGGCTGAGCAGCTACCCCAGCTCTGGATGGCCACTTTGAGACTTCTTATTAAGAGTTTAAAAG